TCTGCAAGAAGTCACAGTGGAATAGAACTAGAGCCTGCAGGAGGTTTTTCCTTTCTCTTAGGGACTCTGCAGTGTCATTTCTCCAAATAGAAAACATTTGATCAGATTGAGGTCTCTGGTGTGTTTTTACCCTGAGATGCGGTGTTGACAACAACTGAAGCAGCTCTTTTTCTTCATGATTCACTGGTGCAGTCTGCAATTCTTCTATTACCTTGAAAATAAAGATTAACCACAAAATTAAAGGAGCCCACCAAACGAGATCAGATATTTGCAAGTGTTTCTGGTGTTGCTAACTTCTATCACCCTTCAAAGCAGCATGCATCAATCACAACTTTGAGGATAGGGAGATGCTGGATCCAGAGTTGTGGATGGCCCACCACTGGACATGTTTGAAGTCAGGTTCCACAGGGCTGTGAGCAATGTGAGTTAGTGAATGGTGACCCTGCCCATGGTTAGACTGCATCATTTTTCAAGGTCCCTTCCAACCCAAACCATTCTAGGTGAACAGCAATGCTGCTTGGGTAAAGGGTTTAAGTCTGAATGGGTTTAAGACTGAATGCTTAGCTGGGATAGTCTATTGTCAAGAAAGGACTGAATGCTTTTTTCAGCCTCTCCCTTATGAAGGCCATTAATAACACTCTTCTGTTGTGGGTCTGTCTTCACTGGGCATTTAATGACATACTTTTCAACTCTCATTTCCTTGACCAATCATGAGTGAAACTAGCCAACAGATTCCAAAGATCTGGGGAAGATGAGAAATGCATCCCACGTAGCACAATCCAAAGCTTTGATTTGTTAGAAAAGCTGGCTTAGATAATAGGAAAATAAGGAGACAAAAACTTTTACTTACATCTTCAACTAATCCTGCTGCACTGTGTAAAACAGGAGTTGGACTCTGCCTTTCATAGTGACGGAGTTTTTCATGAATCTGGAAAAGATTATTCATGTATACTACTACAGAGAGATACAAAACTTCCTGAATATACCTACACTGGAATATTTGGATACTTAAGGAATAGAATTTTTCTGAGGTAAGTGTCAGAACGCCCTCTCTTGAGGTTATTTTGGTTTGTTTAGAAGTCCTTTAGTTTTCTTTTTGCTCACATTAAGTTTCACAGACAGCCAGAAAATCTGTTCAGACTCCAGCAGTGTAAAGGAAAAAACAAAGCCATTTCACACTGCTTTTTAGATACAGGGCACTGGATCTGCACTGTGGCAATCCAGGCAGAAATGGGGTTTTTTTTCCAAATAAGATATGTTAGTGATTGTTAGTGAATGTTCTTAATGTTTGTGCTTTTGCATGCTTTGGTCAGCACAGATTTCCTAAAATAAAAACCAGAGAGCTTTAGCATCGTAAGCAGTTGATCAATCAAGGGAACAGAACCTGTAAGGAACACATGTTCACATATGAACATTTACCTTCATCAGGTAGTTGAGACTCTTTTCACTGAAGACATCCCTAAGGAATCCCATTTCCTCTTTATGATTTGAATCTGGTCTAAGCTGAGACGTCAGAAGGGCCAAAGTTTCATGCAATCCTAAATGTAAATTGAGGACAGAACAGAAGCTTTGTAGATAGCATGGCTCACAGGATGTCCTATTGCAGACATAACACTACCAGCTTAGTGATCATTGGGGGGGGGGGGGAAGGAAGAAGCAGCTAAATTCTGCTTTTCTAGCTATTCTCTCCATGAATTTTTGAGTGCATTTGGATGCAGGAGACTCAAAGTCACTCCTGCTTTAAAACTCAGTATCATCAGCAGCTATGACCTCACCCCGGGTAGCACACTGGAGAAGCTGGCTAGCAAGCCTTAAACTGAATCCCTGGTTTTTGGAGTTGAAAGGAAAAATATTAACAAAGCTTAACAACACCTATTCAGAAAGCAGCAGACATAAGGGCTGATCTTTAATAAGCAGGCATAGAAGCCAGTGTTATACCAAGAGGTCCAAGGTTACCCATAGGAGCCTGCCTACTTGCATATATTCAGGGGCTCCACAAAGTTCTTATAAAACTAGGCACTTCCTGAAACGTGACTGGCTTTACTCTTTTCCACCTTTTATACTCCACCTTCCTTGTGTTCTTTCAGGCACTTATTAAGAAGTCTCCTTGAACTATCTTAATGCTATTTTAATTAACTCCAATTAACTTAATTTCCTGTGCTAAACACATACACAAGGTTTCAGTCACCGGCCTGGGGAAAGCATGCAGATCAGTTACCTGAGTCTTCCGAAAGCACTGGCATGGCCTCGTTCTTAATCCCAGAGACAACCGCTCAACTTCAATCAACTTGCTTGTTTCTTCTTTCTGGACTGTGATCCAGAGGCAGCCCTGAAACGAGCCAAGGTAATACCTGAACTCAAGCATGGGAGAGAAAACAAAACTGGCAAGCATGTAAAACTAGAAAATTCCTAGTACATCTTTCTGTCAAGTGTTCAGTTTACCTTGAATCAGGAAGAGCCCTGCAGTTGCTCTGCTATGCAAATAAGCACACAAAAATACTGTTATCTAATAACCAGATGGTATCCTGGGTGAAGCCAGTGCTGCAGAGAGCACAAGCTTGCCTATTCTGTTCTCACGACAGCCAGTTTTAGAAGGCCCAAGTAACTGTCTGAAAAGCCAGAAAATGCATGCTGCAGAATGGACATCTAAAAGCACCAATAAATCACCACCAGCACAGAAACAGAGCAGAAAGATGCTGCCATGACATGATGTTCTGGGGCTTCCTAAAAGCACACCTCGAAGGCATTTACACCCCTCTGGCATTCTGATGCAGACCACACTACAATTACATGCAAATCATTAGAGCTAATAGAAGTCTTAACCTTGGTCACAGGTACAACATAAGGCTACTTCCAACACCCAGGAATTCCTTTAGATGCTTTTATCGCTGTTTTCTCTTGTCACTGTGATACATGCAATGAAGGATGCTCATTGCCAGGCAGGGCTCCCCCGCTCCGCAGAGACCTTTCCGTGCGTTCCACCGAGCTCGGCCACCGGCGGCAAGGCAAGCCCGGCCGACCCTCCTCACTACCCAGCCGCAGGCCCGACGGGAACGGAGCGAGGTTACGGCCCGTCCGCTTCCAGAGCCGCTTCCCGAGCCGCCGCCGGGCTCTGCGGGCACCTTTCCGGCCCCATCTCCGCCACCCGGAGGCCTTCTCCCAAGCACAGCCCGAGGCCTGGGTCGGAAACCGCCGGTGAACCCCAGCGGCCCCCCGGGCTCCCACCCCGCCGGGGCCCGCGCCTCGAAGGCAGCATCAGAGCCCGGCCCAGCCCCGCCCGGCTGCACAATGGCGCCGGGCCGGTCCTCTGCAGGCACGGAGCCGCTCCGCGCGTCGGGAGCAGCGCTGCCGCCCCGGGACCGTTACCTGCGGGTACGAGCCCGAGTGCGGCCCCGTGGGTGCTGCAGGTCGCAGAGCGGCTCCTCGGCGCCCGCGTCCCCGCAGCCTGCAGCATCCCTCGCCCATGCGCGCTGGGAGCCGCTCTACGCGCCGCCTCCCTCCTTGCATCCCTCCCTCCTTGCATCCCTCCCTCTTTGCATCCCTCCCTCGTTCTATCCCTCCCTCCCTCCAGCCCGGCCGGGTCCGCGCCGGGAGCCCGCTTGCCTGATCCTGGCCCCCGGCATCCACAACCTCCTTTGCTGAATGCACTGTGGGGAGCGGGTCAGCACAGGCACCTACTCACCCAGCTGGGTGTGCTGTGCCATTGGAAGCCTTGGAAGAACACCGCGGCAGCTTTCTGCATCTGTTTATAGAGGGATTCATCCCAAGAGGGGGCCATTGGAGCACGCAGGGACGGGGTCTCGGGTGGGGAGAGAACGTGTGGGCAGGGACCGAGGACAGTGGTTGCCCTGGGTTGTTTTTGGGGGGTTTTAGCAGCGATGTAAATGGCTGTTACTGAAGTAGAGATGCTGCTTGGGGCAGTTTTTCTCATTTTGTGGCTGGTTTTGGTTTTTCTTTTTTTGCGGGAGGGATGAATTTAAAGGTCTTTTTGCAGTCTTTATGGCAACGCAGCCAAGGGTTCAAAGTCACAAAAGCATAGTCAAGCCCTGGATAGGAAGCCTTGCAAGACTGGGAGGGCAGAGAACTGAATGAACAGAGGCAGAGAAAGGTGTCAATACCACGCCAAAGCCCCAGCATCACCCGCGTATTGCTCATTCGTGGGTCAGCCCCTTGCATTGGCTCTGCTTGGACATGCATTTTCCAGCGGAACATTGCTGCCCATCTGTGCAAAGCAGCTCTTGGTCTCCTCTCATTTGCCTTTGGGTGTTGACTTCTGGTTTGTTTTTCCTTTATTAGATCTGTCTGTAGCATCTGTGGACTTGCTGCTGTCAGTCTCATAACAGTGATGCCCCGTGCAATAGGATACACCGATGGCTAGAGCCTTCTCCGGGCGGAAATAACCACAGGATCTGCACGCTCCTAGGTAAGCTGGTTGGGAAGCGTGGCCAGAGCAGCCACCAGGCCAGTCATGGCGTCAAAGGCAAAGGACTGAAATGGGTTTTGGTACGGGGACAACGACTGTCAGAGCCGGGGTACGCGTGGGAAAGGGGCAGGGAAGCGTCAGCCCTGTCCCACAGTGAATAAGCGCGGTCCCCGGAGGGGGGGCCGATGCTCAAGCCGCTACCTCAGAGGTACCGAGTAAGTGAGCGGGTGCTGCCATCCCGTGGCCAAAAGCCGCACTGCAGGCGGGGGGTGGTGCCATGCGGTGTTTGGCACAGCTCGCTGCTGCGTCCTGTGACCATTAGTCAGTACTGCAGTGGGTCAGTCGGTGTCTGCAGAGTTTGGGGTTGCTGACCATAAGGTCTGAGAGAGCTAGAGCCTTGGTGTGAGCTGACAAGAGCCTGGGGCTTTACACCGGGCAGGATGCAGGAGAGACCAAGTCAGATAAGGGCTTGAGGGTGGCGGGAGAGGACACAGGCATCAGCTAAGGACGGACTCGCAGTGGAATGGCAGAAGGTGGCATCTGCAGAAGCAAGATGTGTCCTTATGGGAGGAGAGAAGACCACAACACAGGTATTTCAGCTGTGCTAAGCAGCAGCATTTACTCCTCCCCATTTCATTCGTTGTTCCCCTTGCAGAGTCATTTCCGACAGCTCCGCTATCTTGGGGCTCTTGGAGGGGACGTGTGGGTTTCTGAGTCTCTCTCACACATGCAGGAAGCTTGGTCTCAGCATGCTCCTTGGCTACCTCATCCTTGCTGCCTTCCTGAGGAAACCGCTGGGTAAGCATTGACTTTGACTGATGGGATGATTCCTCTTCTTCCCAAAGACCCTCACCCCCTCAGCAGTTCCTTGCAGGGAGCTGCTCTGGATGGGCAAATGTTGGAAACATCAGCTCACACGGGTGGTTTTGCACATTCTTGCCCAAGATGCTGATACAGCTGACAGAGATGAGACAGAGAAGTGTCTCCTCCCCTGATCAGCTTAGAGCCCTTGCCCTTCTTTTCACTTGTCAGCTCTTCATCTCCCTCTGCCTCTCGCTGCTGACCTGCCCCTCACACTGCTGGAGGTGTCCTGGAGCCAGCACAGGAGAGCCAGGCACTACAGCAGCTGTTCCCTGAAGATTGCAGGCAGCATGAGACTGGAGACTAAAGAGAGAGCTCTCCTCTGAGCTGTATCCCTTTGGGGAATAATTGATGTTATTGTGCTGTGAGATACACACTGAGCTGAGGTCTTAAGCTCCTGTCCCAAGACATTGTGTTGCGCAGGGACTCTTCTCCTCCAACACTTTGCAACCGCCCGTTTTTTGCATCTTGGAGGACTTCCCTGCACAGTCACTGCCTCCTCTTTTTTCCAGGAGCAATGGGACAGACTCAGCAAGAAGGGCAAGTCACAGTAAAGGAGAGAGACACTTTCCAGACCACCTGCACTTATCAGAGTACCAGCTTTGACGCCTTGCTTTGGTACCAGCAAAGGAAAGACCAAGCCCCACATCTCATCTCGTATCAGGCACTTGCTGGCCCCAAGCAGAGCGGCCGTTTCAGCACTCTGCTGAACACCACAAGCAAATACAGCCTCCTGAAGCTGCAGGAGGTCGAGCTCTCCGACAGTGCCTTGTACCTCTGTGCTGGGCAAGACACCCTGGTGCAGGCAGCTGCCCCAGCTGTGCAATAACACAGGGAGGGAGGGTTTGAGGGGAGGATCTACGATCATCATCAGCTCCTAAACAGAGTGGTGTTGTAGTGATGAGTTCCTCTGGCAGCAAGGGACTTCACATCTGGGACATGCCAGATGTGCAGCAGAACACAGTAAGGAAATCTCTGTAACCCCTTCAGGCAGATTAAACACATGCTGGTGTTTTAGTTATTAAAAAATAATAATAAAAAAAAAAAGTAATATATTGGAAAGAGCTCCACCATCATGAGCTGTTCTACAAGGAGTCTGCAAAGATGCTTTAGGGCCGATTCCTTATGGACACTGCCACTACAACCAGTCCTGGGAGTGTTTGCATGGGGCACCTCAGTGTCATGGAACTGGTGGTCGCCTTAAGCTGGTGGACAAGATGTGTTAGAGAGGCCCTTCTGTTGAGTCACAAGGTTCAGAAAAGACCCCTTTGCTTTCCAGCTGATCCTCGGGTATTAGAAGGGCTGGGTGCAACTGCATCCATTCTTGCTCTTAGACTTGGTCAAAGATTTATGCCTAAAGGATTGTGGAGTGCTTGTCTTTCTTGTCCATATTTGTCCTGGTGCCAACACTGTCAAATTACAAGGAGGTGTTCCTCGAACCCTTTATATTTCACCAGCCTAACAGTGTCCCAGCAATGACGAGACCCTTGTGCCCAACCAGCCTCTCCATGTCCTGGACAGTCACCAGCCTGCAGGGTGATTCATCTGACATATTCAGGGACCTCCACCGACACCGTCACAGAGTCAAATCCCCCCGTGCAAATATTCAAGTCTCCACAGACTTACACAAATCAGATTTCAGCTGAAGCTTTTAATTACACAAAATACAAGTTTGTGCCCGTGCTTCCAAGAGGTACCAGGCTGCGAGGACAGAGCTTCCTGATCAGGGGAATCCCTTTCCCAGGAGACCCCTTCTGCCCGCGCAGAGCCGCTGAGCACCCTTGGGCCGGGTCAGACCCCGAGCGGAACCGGTGCGGGACCCAGCCCCGGGGCGGAGCTGGCGGCGGGGACGGGACGAGAGAAGGGGCGGAGGTGGCGGAGAGGAGGAGCCGCGGCCACAGCCGGGAGCCGGGAGCCGGGGCTGGCGGCGGGCAGGGAGGCGCGGGCGGCGGAGCGGCGGGATGCGGCGGTGCCGGGCGGCGGCGCTGGCGGGGCTGACCGCGGTGCTCCTGGGTGCGCGGGGCTGGCGGCGGTGGCGGGGGCCGGTTTGTGCCCGGGTTCTTCCGCGGGGAGCCCGGCGCCAGCCTCTCTCGCTCGTTCCACTCCTCCTTCCCCTCCCTGCCTCTCTGCCACCCCTCGTCCCCCTTTGCAAACCCTCCGAGTCCCCTCTTCCTACCCTCTTCCTACCCTCTTCCTACTCTACCACGTCTCCCATTTCTCCCCTTCCTTCACAGCCTTAGGCACAAGTTTGATTTCCCGCACGCCGCAGTTATTCCCTCCATCTTCTCACCCCCTTCTGCATTCAGCATTTATTCTCCTTCGGATTCCAGCCTTCCATTCTACACTGTAGCACCCTCAACTCCCCCATCCCCTCTCTCTCCCTCCATCCATCCACCCACGCACCTGACTTTCATCCTCTCGCTCCATGTGTCCATTTCAAATTCCCACCCATGCCGGGATCACTCTGCATCCCTGTTGATGGGTCCTGCCTCCGTCTGTATGGGTCCGGCTCTGTCTCACTGCCACTCTTGCTAACCCTTTCTGTGGGAAAATCGAATCTCGGTGATCTTTGACAACGTTTGTCCTTTCCTTCTCCTGTGCCGGCAGCGGCTGCGGGCAGAGCCCAGGTGCAGCAGGACCCTTGGGCAGAGACCACCGAGGACACCGGCATCAGCATCAACTGCTCACACCCCAACATAGGGCTTTACGAGTTCATCTATTGGTACCGTCAGCTCCCGGGCCGAGGCCCCGCAGTCCTCGTGAGCTCTCTTCAAGGCTCCAAAGAGCTGCAGGACCCGCCGGGGCGGCTCTCGGTAGCGGCAAATCGCCGGTCCAGCGTCCTGTGGCTCTCCCGGCCCCGGCGCCGGGACTCGGCGGTGTACTACTGCGCCCACGAGACACGGAGATGGGAGCCGAGTCTGCGGCAGAGCACGAACCTCAGCGGGAGGGGCCGGGCGTGTGTGGTGGTGGTGGGGGGGGACGGACACAGCGCCTTCGGGTCCCCCAGGCGGCGCTCCAGGCCCCTTTGGTGCCCTTGTCTGGGCTCAGCATCTCTTCTCGGTGGCTGCGGGTCTGGGCGCAGCAAAGGGCCCCGCTCGGGACGGGTTCGGCAGGGCAGGGAGAGGAGTCGGGTGCTTCCCAAAAGGCTCTTCTTGGTTCTTCGGGACGGGCTGGGAGCATTCAGGCGAACGTGGCATCTACTGTCCCCTCTGTAAAGCCCTGCCAGCAGTACATGCCCCAGGAGGAAACACACTTGCACACTGACAACACACATACTTGCTTGCTCACCTGCAAATACGTGAGTGCTCACAAACGTGCAGAATAGGCACACAGAAATGCACTTGTTCACACACATCAGAAACCACTCCCTGTCCCGTGTGCAATTCCAAATGCAAACACACACGCACAAATACACCCTCAGGCACGGGAGGAAGCACAGCCTCACCCCATACTCTGAGCATCAGACCCCACTGGCCAGCTCCTTGCCTCTGTGCCCCGACAACTTTAGGCAAGTCTTTGAGAGCCCATTGCTAAGAAGGTAAATGAGGCACTAGCCATCGCTGGTGGATCTCGTGTCAGCAGCGAGCTTTGGGGCTTCTGTGGGTTGGGCAGAACAAGTTAAAATGATTGGGTTATTACAGGAAAAAGAGAGGGTCTGTCGGGGTCCAAGCTGCAGGGTCTGTTTTGGACATTCAGCCTGTTCACACAAAATGTGTGTGCATGAGAGGCACAATCACAGGTGGACACCATGCCTATTGCAGCAGGTCTGGGTATTCTCCACTTTACAAGTAAAATAATTCCGAAGTCTGACAAGAGCAAGGCCACTCCGATGGTTGCCATAGGGTGGTTATGGAGGTCTCAGACCTGTTCCAGAAAAGGGTTTGAGGGTGGCGGGAGAGAACACAGGCATCAGCTAAGGACGGACTCGCAGTGGAATGGCAGAAGGTGGCATCTGCAGAAGCAAGATGTGTCCTTACGGGAGGAGAGAAGACCACAGCACAGGTATTTCAGCTGTGCTAAGCAGCAGCATTTACTCCTCCCCATTTCATTCGTTGTTCCCTTTGCAGAGTCATTTCCGACAGCTCCACTATCTTCATGGGGACGTGTGGGTTTCTGAGTCTCTCTCACAAATGCAGGAAGCTTGGTCTCAGCATGCTCCTTGGCTACCTCATCCTTGCTGTCTTCCTGAGGAAACCGCTGGGTAAGCATTGGCTTTGACTGATGGGATGATTCCTCTTCTTCCCAAAGACCCTCACCCCCTCAGCAGTTCCTTGCAGGGAGCTGCTCTGGATGGGCAAATGTTGGAAACATCAGCTCACACGGGTGGTTTTGCACATTCTTGCCCAAGATGCTGATACAGCTGACAGATAAAAGATGAGACAGAGAAGTGTCTCCTCCCCTGATCAGCTTAGAGCCCTTGCCCTTCTTTTCACCTGTCAACTCTTCATCTCCCTCTGCTTCTCGCTGCTGATCTGCCCCTCACACTGCTGGAGGTGTCCTGGAGCCAGCACAGGAGAGCCAGGCACTACAGCAGCTGTTCCCTGAAGACTGCAGGCAGCATGAGAATGGAGACCAAAGACATACATGGAAGCACAGCTCTCCTCCGAGGGTATCCCTTTGGGGGGTAATTGGCATTTTTGGCATTTTGTGCTGTAGGATCCACACTGAGCTGAGGTCTCAACCTCCTGTGCCAAAACACTGTGTTCCTGTTCCCATCAATGTGGCTTAGCTGGAGAACAGGGCACAGGGACCTTTCTCCATCAGTACTTTGCAGCCGCTCTTGTTCTGCATCTCGGAGCACTCCCCTGCATGGTCATAAAATCATAGAATCACAGAATGGTTTGGGTTGGAAAGGACCTTAAGATCATCTACTTCCAACCCCCATGCCATGGGAAGGGAGGCCTCACAATAGGCTGTGTTGCCCCAGGCTATGTCCACCCTGGACTTGAACACTCTGAGGAGTGGAGCAAGCATGTCTCACTCCCTTGGGCAACTTATTCCATTCCTGCTTTCTTCCAGGCAGCATGGGGCAGATAACACTCACCCAGCAAGAAGAAGTCACAGTAAAGGAGAAAGAAACCTTCCAGACCACCTGCACTTACCAGAGTGCTAACTTTTACGGCTTAGCTTGGTACCAGCAGAAGAAGAACCAAGCCCCACAGCTCATCTCATATCAGGCACTTGCTGGCCCCAAGCAGAGCGGCCGTTTCAGCACTCTGCTGAACACCACAAGCAAATACAGCCTCCTGAAGCTGCAGGAGGTCGAGCTCTCCGACAGTGCCTTGTACCTCTGTGCTGGGCAAGACACCCTGGTGCAGGCAGCTGCCCCAGCTGTGCAATAACACAAACACACAACAAAACCACACACAACGGCCCCGACTGCCAAAGATCCCAGAGCTTTCCGTGTCTGAAACGAGTAAGCCAAGACACGACCATGCAAATGAACCTTACATCCAAGCCCCTGGGCTCATGAGGATCTACTCAGGCGATCTGGGAGGGGATCTATGATCATCCTCGGCTCTTAAACAGAGAGCGGTGTAGTACAGATGAGCTCCTCTGGCAGCAACGGACTCTGTGTGCTGGACATGCCAGACTTGCATCAGCCTACATTAGGGAAAGAGGGAAATTTCTATTACCCCTTCAGGCAGATTAAACACATGCTGGTGCATTATTAAATAAATAAAAACATTAGAAAATAATATATTGGAAAGAGCTCCACCATCATGAGCCGTTCTACAAGGAGTCTGCAAAGATGCTTTAGGAGCCGATTCCTTATGGACACTGCCACTACAACCAGTCCTGGGAGTGTTTGCATGGGGCACCTCAGTGTCATGGAACGCGTGGTCGCCTTAAGCTAGTGGACAAGATGTGTTAGAGAGACCCTTTTGTTGAATCACAAGGTTCAGAAAAGACCCCTTTGCTTTCCAGCTGATCCTCAGATATTAGAGGGGCTGGGCACACCTGCATCCAATCTTGATCTTAGACTTGGTCAAAGATTTATGCCTAAAGCATTGTGGAGTGCTTGTCTTTCTTGTCCATATTTGTCCTGATGCCAACGCTGTCAAATTACAAGGGGGTGTTCCTTGAACCCTTTATATTTCACCAGCCTAGCAATGTGACAGGAATTATGAGACCCTTGTGCCCAACTAGCCTGTCCATGTCCTGGACAGTCACCAGCCTGCAGGATGATTCATCTGACATATTCAGGGACCTCCACCGACAGCGTCACAGAGTCAAATCCCTCAGTGCAAGCATTCAACAGACTTACACAAATCAGATTTCAGCTGAAGCTTTTAATTACACAAAATACAAGTTTGTGCCCCTGCTTCCAAGAGGTACCAGGCTGCGAGGACAGAGCTTCCTGATCAGGGGAATCCCTTTCTCAGGAGACCCCTTCTGCCCGTGCAGAGCCGCTGAGCTCCCTTGGGCCGGGTCAGACCCCGAGCGGAACCGGTGCGGGACCCAGCCCCGGGGCGGAGCTGGCGGCGGGGACGGGACGGGAGAAGGGGCTGAGGTGGTGGAGAGGAGGAGCCGCGGCCACAGCCGGGAGCAGGGAGCCGGGAGCCGGGAACCGGGGCTGGTGGCGGGCAGGGAGGCGCGGTCGGCGGAGCGCCGGGATGCAGCGGTGCCGGGCGGCGGCGCTGGCGGGGCTGACCGCGGTGCTCCTGGGTGCGCGGGGCTGGCGGCGGTGGCGGGGGCCGGTTTGTGCCCGGGCTCTTTCGCGGGGAGCCCGGCCCCAGCCTCTCCCGCTCGTTCCACTCCTCCTTCCCCTCCCTGCCTCTCTGCCACCCCTCGTCCCCCTTTGCAAACCCTCCGAGTCCCCTTTTCCTACTCGCCCTATTTCTCCACTGCCTCTGTCGCTACGAACCTGCTTGCATGTACTCCTGCTTTTCCGTGCACCATCTCCTTCCTCTGCTCATTCAGAGCGTCTTAGTGCCCTAAATACAGCCCTCTGTCCTGAGCCGTAACACTCAACCCTCCTGATCTGCTCTTTATCTGTTCATCCCGTCAGCTTCTGACACATCTCTCCCTGCATCCACCATCCACAGCTCTTCTTCCTGTGCTGAGACTCCTCTCTCGTTATTCCCTCTGCTTCCGAGGCACAAGTCTGATTTCCTGCATTCCAGTTACACTCTGCATCCACGCAACCCCTGTTCATTAAGCATTTATTCTCCATTTCTGTTGACGTTCACGTGGCCCCGTCTGTATCGGTCCGGCTCTGTCTCACTGCCACTCCTGCTAACCCTTTCTGTGGGAAAATCGAATCTCGGTGATCTTTGACAACGTTTGTCCTTTCCTTCTCCTTTGTCGGCAGCAGCTGTGGGCAGAGCCCAGGTGCAGCAGGACCCGTGGGCAGAAACCACCGAGAACACCGGCATCAAAATCAACTGCTCACACCCCAACATACAGGTTTACGAGTTCATCCACTGGTATCGTCAGTTCCCGGGCCGTGGCCCCGCATTCCTCGATAGCGCTCGTAAAGACTCCAAAGAGCTGCAGGACCCGCCGGGGCGGCTCTCGGTGGCGGCAGATCGCCGGTCCAGCATCCTGTGGCTCTCCCGGCCCCGGCTCCGGGACGCGGCGGTGTACTACTGCGCCCAAGCCCACGGAGAGAGGAGCCGGGGCTGCGGCCGAGCAAAAACCGCTGCGGGGGGGGGGGAGAAGGAAGCAGGACTGCGGCGGCCAGGCCCGCGAGGCGGCGCTGCTGCTCCGCCCGGTACCGGCATCGGGTCCGTCGAGGCCCTCCCTTTTCATGTCCCAGCGCATTCCCCGGACGCGGCTCCGGATGCAGAGAGGCTGCAGTGCTGCACGGCAGTGTTCATCTCCTGTTCTGGGCATCTGCGGGAGAGGCGCTGCTCCCAGGCAGCTGACGAACAACGCTTCCCCGCTTCTTCCTCTGCTCCCCCATCAGACCCCTTTCCAGCAGCTCTGTTGTCTCGGGGCTGGGAGCTGGTTTTCTGACTCTCAGCAAACAGGCAGGTTGATCTCAGCATGCAACTGGGATATCTCATCCTCACTGTTTTCCTGGGGCAACTGCTCGGTAAGTCCTGCCCTTGTATCAGCGCATGCCTCTTCTTCTCCTTTTTGCCAGCTTTATCAGGATCATGCCAAGAACTACTACTGAATAACAGGAGAAAGCTGGGAAGCATCACCTCACATTTGTGGTTTTGCACCAGTTCTCTCCAGATTCCCTTCCTATTGGAAACAAGATGAGGAGAGAGAGGAGGGATATCTCATACCTCTGCTCCTGCTTCTCTCCCCTTCAATTCATCTCTCTGTGCCTATCTCTTCCTATCCACCTGTGTCACCATAGGAGATCACATCCGGCTCTGCAGTCCCTCATTTCTCCCTTTCCAACTCAAGGTAGCAGATCTTGTCCAGGATGCCTCAGGGACTTTGCAGTTTTCATCTCACTGACACTAATAGGGTGTCCCATTCTGCCCAAAATTGCTCTTCCTATTTTCATCCCCGGGCATCAGTGTCTTCTGCCGGGCAAGGTGCAGGAAGCATTCACCAGCTGCGTTTGTATCCATTCCTTGTTTGCTTCCTGGAGCCTATCCCTGCAGAGCTGCTGACCTTTCCTTTCTTGCAGGCACCATGGGGCAGATCACTGTCACCCAGCAAGAGGAACAAGTCACAGTAAAGGAGGGAGAGACCTTTCAAACAACTTGCACATACCAGACATCCTTCTCTCCATCTTTGGTTTGGTACCAGCAGAAGAAAGACGAAGCCCCACAGCTCATCTCATACCAGGCACTTGCTGGCCCCAAGCAGAGTGGCCGTTTCAGCACTCTGCTGAACACCACAAGCAAATACAGCCTCCTGAAGCTGCAGGAGGTCGAGCTCTCCGACAGTGCCTTGTACCTCTGTGCTGGGCAAGACACCCTGGTGCAGGCAGCTGCCCCAGCTGTGCAATAACACAGGAAGGGAAGGTGCCTTGATTCTCCACTGCCAGCGATGCTTCCCCTGCCCGCAGAACTCTGCACAGAGAGATCCTCTTCCTGACAGGGGCCAGGCCCAGTGGCTCTGGACATGGCTGAGCCTGAGCACAGGGCAGAGCCTGCTGGGAACCAGGGTGCTAGGGGCTTCCCTCTGCCCTGAACGACCAAAAGCAGAAAATTCCTGGGAGCCCAGAATTCAACGTGAAGCCAGACCCAGAGCTCTCAATGCCTGAAACAAGCCAAGACACCAACATAAAAATGAACTTTATGACCAAGCCGCTGGGCTCCTGAGGCTCTACTCAGGGGAGCTAGGGAAGGGGTCTATGGTCATCCTCAGCTCTTAAATAGGAAGAGGTGTCATAGAGATGGTCATCTCTGGCAGCAAGGGTCTGTGTCCTGAACATGTCAGACATGCAGCAGCCTACAGTATGGAAATTTCTATTACCCCTTCAGGCAGATTAAACACATGCTGGTGCATTAATTAGTAAATAAATAAAAACATTAAAAAATAATATATTGGAAAGAGCTCCACCATTATGAGCCGTTCTAAGAGGAGTCTGCAAAGAGGGGTTAGGAACCAATACTTTATGGGCACTGCCAATAGCACCAATAAAGGTAGTGGGGGCACCTCAGTGTCATGGAACACGTGGTCACCTTAAGCTAGTGGACAAGATGTGTTAGAGAGACTCTTCTGTTGAGTCACAAGGTTCAGAAAAACACTCTTTGCTTTCTAGCTGATCCTCAGATATTAGAGGGGCTGGGCACACCTGCATCCAATCTTGGTCTTAGACTTCGTCAAAATTTTATGTCTAAAGGATTGTGGAGTGCTTGTCCTTCTTGTCCATATTTGTCCTGATGCCAACACTGTCAAATTACAAGGGGGTGTTCCTCGAACCCTTTATATATATTTCACCAGCCTAACAGTGTCCCAGCAATGACGAGACCCTTGTGCCCAAACAGCCTCTCCATGTCCTGGACAGTCACCAGCCTGCAGGGTGATTCATCTGACATATTCAGGGACCTCCACCGACACCGTCACAGACTCAAATCCCTCCGTGCAAACATTCAACAGACTTACACAAATCAGATTTCAGCTGAAGCTTTTAATTACACAAAAGACAAGTTTGTGCCCGTGCTTCAAGAGGTACCAGGCTGCGAGGACAGAGCTTCCTGATCAGGGGAATCCCTTTCCCAGGAGACCCCTTCTGCCCGCGCAGAGCCGCTGAGCACCCTTAGGCGGGGTCAGACCCCGAGCGGAACCGGTGCGGGACCCAGCCCCGGGGCGGAGCTGGCGGCGGGGACGGGACGAGAGAAGGGGCGGAGGGGGCGGAGAGGAGAAGCCGCGGCCACAGCCGGGAGCCGGGAGCCGGGGCTGGCGGCGGGCAGGGAGGCGCGGGCGGCGGAGCGGCGGGATGCGGCGGTGCCGGGCGGCGGCGCTGGCGGGGCTGACCGCGGTGCTCCTGGGTGCGCGGGGCTGGCGGCGGTGGCGGGGGCCGGTCTGTGCCCGGGCTCTTTCGCGGGGAGCCCGGCCCCAGCCTCTCCCGCTCGTTCCACTCCTCCTTCCCCTCCCTGCCTCTCTGCCACCCCTCGTCCCCCTTTGCAAACCCTCCGAGTCCCCTCTTCCTACTCGCCCTATTTCTCCACTGCCTCTGTCGCTACGAACCTGCTTGCATGTACTCCTGCTTTTCCGTGCACCATCTCCTTCCCCTGCGCATTCCGCGCTTCTTAATGCCCTAAATACAGCCCTCTGTCCTGACCTGTAACACACAACACTCCTGATCTGCTCTTTATCCGTTTACCCCTCAGCTTCTGACACATCTCTCCGTGTATCTGCCATTCTCAGCTCCTGTTCCTGCTCTGAAACCCCTCTCGTTACTCCCTCTGCTTCCTTTGCTTCCTAGGCACGTCTGATTTCCTGCATTCCAGTTACACTCTGCATCTACACAATCCCTGTTCATTAAGCATTTATTCTCCATCTCTGTTGACGTTCAAGTGTCCCCATCTGTATCGGTCCGGCTCTGTCTCACTGCCGCTCTTGCTAACCCTTTTCTGTAGGAAAATCGAATCTCGGTGATCTTTGACAACGTTTGTCCTTTCCTTCTCGTGTCGGCAGCAGCTGTGGGCAGAGCGCAAGTGCAGCAGGACCCGTGGGCAGAAACCACCGAGGGCACCGGCATCAAAATCAACTGCTCACACCCCAACACAGGGCTTTACGAGTTCATCTATTGGTACCGTCAGCTCCCGGGCCGTGGCCTCGCATTCCTTGTGAGCGCTATTCAAGGCTCCAAAGAGCTGCTGGACCCGCCGGGGCGGCTCTCGGTGGCGGCAAATCGCCGGTTCAACGTCCTGTGGCTCTCCCGGCCCCGGCTCCGGGACGCGGCGGTGTACTACTGCGCCCAAACCCACGGAGAGAGGAGCCGGGGCTGCGGCCGAGCAAAAACCGCTGCGGGCGGGGCCGGGCGTGTGTGTCGGGGGGTGCGCGGGACAGCGGCGTCCGGGCCCGCGAGGCGGCGCTGCTGCTCCGCCCGGTACCGGCATCAGTCCCGTCGAGGCCCCTTTGGTGCCCCGGTGCATTCCCCGGACGCGGCTCCGGATGCAGGGAGGCTGCAGTGCTGCACGGCAGTGTTCATCTCCTGTTCTGGGCATCTGCGGGAGAGGCGTTGCTCCCAGGCAGCTGAGGAACAACGCTTCCCCGCTTCTTCCTTTGCTCCCCCATCAGACCCGTTTCCAGCTCTGTTGTCTCGGGGCTGGGAGCTGGTTTTCTGACTCTCAGCAAACAGGCAGGTTGATCTCAGCATGCAACTGGGATATCTCATCCTCACTGTTTTCCTGGGGCAACTGCTCGGTAAGTCCTGCCCTTCTATAAGCAGATGCCTCTCCTTCTCCCTTTTGCCAGCGGATCAGGATCATGCCAAGAACTAATATTGAATAACAGGAGAAAGCTGGGAAGCATCACCTCACATTTGTGGTTTTGCACCAGTTCTCTCCAGATTCCCTTCCTATTGGAAACAAGATGAGGAGAGAGAGGAGGGATATCTCATACCTCTGCTACTGCTTTTCCTGCTTCCGCGGGGAGCCCGGCGCCAGCCTCTCCCGCTCGTTCCACTCCTCCTTCCCCTCCCTGCCTCTCTGCCACCCCTCGTCCCCCTTTGCAAACCCTCCGAGTCCCCTTTTCCTACTCGCCCTATTTCTCCACTGCCTCTTTTGCTACGAACCTGCTTGCAGGTACTCCTGCTTTTGCGTGCACCGTCTCCTTCCCCTGTGCATGCAGAGCTTCTTAATGCCCTGAATACAGCCCTCTGTCCTGAATTGTAACACTCACCCTCCTGATCTGCTCTTTATCCATTCATCCCGTCAATTTATGACACATCTCTCCCTGTATCTGCCATCCTCAGCTTTTCTTCCTATGCTGAGAATACTCTCTCGTCCTCCCTCTGCTTCCTTTGCTTCTGGAGGCACAAGTTTTGTTTCCTGCATTCCAGTTACGCGCTGCATCCACACAACCCCTGATAAGCATTCATTCTCCATCTCTGTTGACGTTCACTTATCCCCATCTGTTCCGGTCCGGCTCTGTCTCACTGCCACTCTTGCTAACCCTTTTCTGTGGGAAAATCGAATCTTGGTGATCTTTGACAGCGTTTGTCCTTTCCTTCTCTTGTGTCGGCAGCAGCTGTGGGCAGAGCCCAGATGCAGCAGGACCCGTGGGCAGAGACCACCGAGGGCACCGGCATCAAAATCAACTGCTCACACCCCAACTTACCGCGTAGCGACTTCATCCATTGGTACCGTCAGTTCCCGGGCCATGGCCCCGCATTCCTCGTGAGCGCTATTCAAGGCTCCAAAGAGCTGCAGGACCCGCCGGGGCGGCTCTCGGTGGCGGCAGATCGCCGGTTCAACGTCCTGTGGCTCTCCCGGCCCCGGCTCCGGGACGCGGCGGTGTACTACTGCGCCCAGATCCACGGAGAGAGGAGCCGGGGCTGCGGCCGAGCAAAAACCGCTGCGGGCGGGGCCGGGCGTGTGTGTCGGGGGTGCGGGACATCGGCGGCCGGGCCCGCGAGGTGGCGCTGCTGCTCCGCCTGGTACCGGCATCGGGTCCGTCGAGGCCCCCCCTTTCATGTCCCAGTGCATTCCCCGAACGCGGCTCCGGATGCAGAGAGGCTGCAGTGCTGCACGGCAGTGTTCATCTCCTGTTCTGGGCATCTGCGGGAGAGGCGCTGCTCCCAGGCAGCTGAGGAACAACGCTTCCCCGCTTCTTCCTCTGCTCCCCCATCAGACCCCTTTCCAGCAGCTCTGTTGTCTCGGGGCTGGGAGCTGGTTTTCTGACTCTCAGCAAACAGGCAGGTTGATCTCAGCATGCAACTGGGATATCTCATCCTCACTGTTTTCCTGGGGCAACTGCTCGGTAAGTCCTGCCCTTCTATAAGCACATGCCTCTCCTTCTCCCTTTTGCCAGCCTTATCAGGATTATGCCAAGAACTAATATTGAATAGCAGGAGAAGGCTGGGAAGTGTTACCTCACAGCTGTCGTTTTGCACCAGTTCTCTCCAGATGCCATTGCTATTGTAAACAAGATTAGTACAGAGAGAAGAGATACGCTGCTGCTCCTGCTTCTCTCCCCTTTAATTCATCTCTCTGTGCCTATCTCGTCCTATCCACCTGTGTCACAATAGGAAATCAGTCCCTCATTTCTCCCTTTCCAACTCAAGGTAGCAGATCTTGTCCAAGATGCCCCAGGGACTTTGCAGTTTTCATCTCACTTAACACTAATAGGGTGTCCCAGTCTGCCCCAAATTGCTCCTCCTATTTGCATCCCCAGGCATCAGTGTTTTCCTGACGTTCACCAGCTGTTTGTATCCATTCCTTGTTTACTTCCTGACTTCCCTGCAGAGCTGCTGACCTTTCCTTTCTTGCAGGCACCATGGGGCAGATCACACTTACCCAGCAAGAGGAACAAGTCACAGTAAAGGAGAGAGACACCTTTCAAACAACTTGCACATTCCAGGCGTCCTTCTCTCCATCTTTGTTTTGGTACCAGCAGAAGAAAGACCAAGCCCCACAGCTCATCTCATATCAGGCACTTGCTGGCCCCAAGCAGAGCGGCCGTTTCAGCACGCTGCTGAACACCACAAGCAAATACAGCCTCCTGAAGCTGCAGGAGGTCGAGGTCTCTGACAGTGCCTTGTACCTCTGTGCTGGAAGAGACACCCTGGTGCAGGCAGCTGCCCCAGCTGTGCAATAATTCAGGGAGGGAGGGTTTGACTTGTAGGGATCTTTGATTATCCACACATCCTAAACAGGGAGTTGTGTTACAGAGATGAGCTCGTACGGCAGCAAGGGACTGTGTGTCCTGGGCCTGCCAGACTTGCAGCACCATAGAGTAGGGAATTTTTATTTTACAGTCCCTGAGACTGGGACATCAGAAGTGATGCAGTAGTGAATGTGTCTCTAGCCATACTCTAAGGTTAAATACCCTCTCTTGAAAATGCAGGGAAACACAGGACCATTACTTTAGTAAGCAGCTGGAAAAAATGGTGTGGGTACACTCTCAATGTTCCAGCATCTTTGTGCTGGCCTTTTTCGTCCCGGTGTTTTGCATACAGGTGCTGCAACAGCCTGCAGCAAGAAGGAGCTTTTGGCTGCCTCTTCGGTTATTTGTGAGGTGGCTGAGTTTGCCTTACAGCCAAGGCTCCTCTGTGCCAAACAGTTTCTGCACAAGAGTAAGGTCAGTGTTTTGGTTTACCTGGCAAGGTTCAGGTACTGAAGGGGCTGCTGGGTTGGCTTCTGTGACAAGATAACAGAAAGAGCCAGTAACAGCCAGCTCCAAGACAGCCCCGCTGCCAAAAGCTGAGCCAGCACTGTTAGTGCCTCTGTGACAGCATATTGAAGTAAGGGTAAAACAGCAGCTGTTTCACAGGGGAAGGACCACAAGGAGGAGGCCAGGCTTGCCAGTGAAGCAGAACTTTAATGAGTTAAAAGAGGGAAACAAAGACTGCGAGTGGAGGGCACCAGTGCAGGGAGCCCTGGGGGAAGCCAAGAGGCTGCATTTTGTGGTCATGGAGAAGGAATGGAAAGGAAAGATCATTCAGCTGTGTTGAAAACAACATCCAGAAGAGCGATCCTCTGCACAGCACCATGTCCTGAGTTCCTGCAGGTGTCTCCCGGAAGATTCCCAGCACGTTTATCAGAGGAGGTACCTCCTGCCACCATAGCGTCGGGAAATGCCAGAGAGGTCAAAGCACCCGGAGTTGATGGGCACTCCACCGCAGCTGAGGATGCTGCCAATGGCAGCGGAGGTGGAGGAGCCCACAACGGTGTTCTGAGGGAAGGAGCTGAGGATGGGGCCGGGCAGGGTCACCACCACAGCAGGAGGCTCAATGACAACAGTGGAGCTCTGGCACTGCTTGACACAGCACTCATTGCAGCTGTTGGCCAGCGGGGTCGGGCCGCAGGGCTGGCAGGGCACACATGGGCTGTAGCAGGACATGTCTGGATGCTGGAGCTTCACCTGGACACAGGGCAGGAACAAGCAGATGAGCACAAGGATGGATGAGGAGCAGCCTGGCTTTCCTGTCACAAAGAGCCGAGGCCGCTAAGGAGTGGGCAGCTGGAAGCTGTGCCGGCTGCCACACGGCCTCTATTGCCGATATAGAGCAGCCTGGGACAGGGAGGGTCTCTTGGAATTTGTAGACCAAAAGCCCCTTCAGCCACTTCCCAGCCTTTCCCTAGGCAGACATTCTCCCCACTTCTCTCACCTATGCACAGTGCTGCAAGCCCCAGCACAGGATAAGGCTAATATCAGCTGAGAGTTTCACTGAAGATAGACCGCGCTTTTAAGAGGAGGACAAGGGGCTTCAGACTCACCTGGTTCTCAAGGAGAAGGAGGCAAGAGAAGTGGATGAGAGAGCAGGGACCTGGGCTGCCTTTTATATCTGCCCATCATTGCCGCAGGACCAGAGGCACCTTTGCAGAGGTAACAATTATCTGACAAGCTCATCTTGATGCAAACCATTGCAGCTAATGATATGGGCTGTGCTTTGGTTTCCAACACTGCTGCCTTTTCATTTCCAGGTTTGGGCCATGCCTGTTTCCCAGTGAAGGCTACTTCTGAGCACAGGCATGAAAGGCTTGGGATTTCTGAGTCAGGAATGCAGCAGTCCTGGCAGAAGACAGCTCAAGTGCTGGATGGGTCCTTAGAAGGCCAGTGACATTAGTCTGGGTCACTCTGTTGGGTGTGTTTCTCAGGAAGAAGTTCCAGCCATTCTCAGCAGGAAGGAAGCCCAAGGGTTCCTGGCTATGATGATGTGCCGCATGCATGTCTGAGTACACACTGGAAAAGAATTGGTACATAATTCTACACTGATGTGCATGAGCCTGTGTCTGTATCCTTGTGTGCCCCTCATCAGGAGGAAATGTCCTCCTCATAATGAGGACACTCTCCACTGTTCTGTCCATTAGTGCCACAGAGCAGCAGGTTTCCAGGATCAGAAAGAGCGTGTTCATGATGAGAAAAGGAACATAGAATTATAGAATCATAGAATAGTTAGGGTTGGAAAGGACCTTAAGATCATCCAGTTCCAACCCCCCTGCCATGGGCAGGAACACCTCGCTCTAAACCATATCACCCAAGGCCTTGTCCAACCTGGCCTTGAACAGTGCCAGGGATGGAGCATTCACAACCTCCCTGGGCACCCATTCCAGTGCCTCACCACCCTAACAGGAAAGAATTTCCTCCTATATCCAATCTAAACTTCCCCTGTTTAACCCATTACCACTACAGTCCCTAATGAAGAGTCCATCCCCAGCATCCCTATAGGCCCCCTTCAGATACTGGAAGGCTGCTCTGAGGTCTCCACGCGGCCTTCTCCAGGCTGAACAGCCCCAACTTTCTCAGCCTGTCTTCATACAGGAGGTGCTCCAGTTCCCAGGGAGGTCGTGCAATGTCAGTCCTGGGAGATGCTCAAGGCTGGACTGAATGTGACCTTAGGCAAACCCGATCTAACGATATCTGTTCCGAGCAGCCTCTGGAGGTCCCTCCTGACTTGCTTTCTGACTGATTCCACAGCGGCCCTGGCCTTCCTGAGCCGTGCATGCCGATGGGCACAGGAGTCCTCACACTCCCTCTGCCACAAGAGAACTTCTAGGCACTGTGCTGGGACTGCAGAGGGGCAACCGAAGGCAGGTGCTCAGCCTTCTCTCTGCCCTGTGCAGGCAATACGTGGCCGGTGTTTGCAGCCCCCGGGCTCGGAGACAGCTCCGAGAAGCTGCTCCATCTCCTGCAGCGTTGCAGGCTGGATCCTGATGTGGCGTCCTTGCTGGAGGAGGGGGGCAGTCCCTCCCCGCGAAGACCCCCTTCTGCCCGTGCAGAGCCGCTGAGCACCCTTAGGTGGGGTCAGACCCCGAGCGGAACCGGTGCGGGACCCAGCCCCGGGGCGGAGCTGGCGGCGGGGCCGGGACGGGAGAAGGGGCGGAGGTGGTGGAGAGGAGGAGCCGCGGCCACAGCCGGGAGCCGGGAGCCGGGGCTGGCGGCGGGCAGGGAGGCGCGGGCGGCGGAGCGGCGGGATGCGGCGGTGCCGGGCAGCGGCGCTGGCGGGGCTGACAGCGGTGCTCCTGGGTGCGCGGGGCCGGTGGCGGTGGCGGGGGCCGGTTTGTGCCCGGGCTCTTCCGCGGGGAGCCCGGCGCCAGCCTCTCCCGCTCGTTCCACTCCTCCTTCCCCTCCCTGCCTCTCTGCCACCCCTCGTCCCCCTTTGCAAACCCTCCGAGTCCCTCTTCCTACCCTCTTCCTACTCTACCACGTCTCCCATTTCTCCCCTTCCTTCACAGCCTTAGGCACAAATTTGATTTCCCGCACGCCGCAGTTATTCCCTCCATCTTCTCACCCCCTTCTGCATTCAGCATTTATTCTCCTTCGGATTCCAGCCTTCCATCCTACACTGTAGCACCCTCAACTCTCCAGTCCCCTTTCTCCTTCCATCCACCCACCCATGCACCTGACTTTCATCCTCTCTCTCCATGTGTCCATCTCAAATTCCCACCCATGCCGGGATCACTCTCCATCCCTGTTGATGAGCACGTGTCCCCATCTGTATCGGTCCGGCTCTGTCTCACTGCCACTCTTGCTAACCCTTTCTGTGGGAAAATCGAATCTCGGTGATCTTTGACAACGTTTGTCCTTTCATTCTCCTGTGTCAGCAGCGGCTGCGGGCAGAGCCCAGGTGCAGCAGGACCCGTGGACAGAGACCACCGAAGACACCGGCATCAAAATCAACTGCTCACACCCCAACACAGGGCTTTACGACTCCATCCATTGGTATCGTCAGCTCCCGGGCCGAGGCCCCGCATTCCTCGTGAGCGCTATTCAAGGCTCCAAAGAGCTGCAGGACCCGCCGGGGCGGCTCTCGGTGGCGGCAAATCGCCGGTTCAACGTCCTGTGGCTCTCCCGGCCCCGGCTCCGGGACGCGGCGGTGTACTACTGCGCCCAGACCCACGGAGAGAGGAGCCGGGGCTGCGGCCGAGCAAAAACCGCTGCGGGCGGAGCCGGGCGTGTGTGTCGGGGGCGCTGGACATCGGCGGCCGGGCCCGCGAGGTGGCGCTGCTGCTCCGCCCGGTACCGGCATCGGGCCCGTCGAGCACCCCGCATTCGTGCCCCGGTGCATTCCCCGGACGCGGCTCTGGATCTAAGCTCCGGGCAGAAACTCAGGAAGGCACTGAGACCGTCCACTCTATGCCGCGAAAACGAGCAAAGGCGAATGGGCCTCATTCTTGCCCTCCTCACAGCAGAGGTGTGTCTATGTCACATACACTCTGGTACACTCTGCAGGAAGCAGCGATTTCATTGTGCCTTGCTCTGTAGTGTGTTAAGCATCTTCCGAGGGACAGGGATTCCGGAGCTGGGAAAAATGATCTTCACCATGGCTTTGCCAGCATGTGTCCTGCTAATCCAGACAGGTTAGTATACTCATGCACTTCCTATTTTTTCCCACATTTTTTAGTAGCCTGTGAGCAACTATGTGCTGACAAGATGAGGACAGGCAGTAATGCAGAGGGGTGGTGGAAGTAGATACCTGAAATTTCCTTTCCCTTGGATAAAGGAAAGGTGTGGAGCAAACACAGCCTTAAACACAAAGCAAGAGAGAAGGAAGCAAGCTGCTCTGCAGACACATTTCTGTCTGTGTTGCAGGTCTTGTTGGAGGTAACCCCCCGAAGCAATTCCTCTCCGATGTGTCAGCCAGAGTTGGGCAGCGAGTGGTTCTGCCCTGCCAGTCCACCATCGAGGACAGTGGCAGCGGTCTGAACTTCTTCTGGTATCGCCAGCTCCCAGGGGAAGCCTTAAAATTTCTCCTACAAGCATTTAAAGATTCAGGGAATGACAAGTTCCGCAGTGGCCAGTTCTCTGTGGTGGTCTACAGAAATGAAACAGCCCCCTTAGAAATAGCGAATGTCTCTTTTGAGGACACTGCGATTTATTACTGTGCTCTGAAGTACCACATTAAACTAAGCCACATTTCCACTCGTGCAAAATCTGCATTGCGAAGAACAGCATAGGAGGGGTGAACCTCTTCATCTTCCAGCCTTGGCAGTGCTTTTGTCTCTGAAATGATCCTCTCCTTACATTAACCTTTCCAACATCTCCCAGCCCTAATCCTCCCTACTTCTCTCAAAGGCCTCCCTTCTATTCAGAGGTATTCAGACCAGGAACTTAGAAATACAGGATCATGGGACTGTTTGCAGGTCAGCAGGGACACTCAACTTTCCTCCTCGCACAGAAACCACTTCTAAAGGAGATGATCGACATTCCCTGGACTTAACCTGCAGCATCAGTCCTTACCTCCTCTTGGTTTGTCCACTACCTGATACTGCACACCCCAGCCTGCTGGGGTGACTGTTCTGTCTGAGGTCTTGACCCAGCTGTGGGAAGAGCCAGGGAATTCATGTCTCTGCTTTGCTCCTGGCCAGCCCTAGTCCTTAGCACAGTTACCTGATGGACCACAGGCCCTCATCTTGCTCCTTTTTGCAGAGTAGCCAAGGTGCAGGAAAGCAGCTTTTACCTTAATGCATTCAGCACTATGCAGGGTATCCTTCTCTGTGCTGCATATGGTTAGATGATGAAATCCTCCCACATACATCCCAGTCAGCAGAAAATCTACTTCTTTGGAAAAAACTAAAAGGGAAAAAGTATAGTGAAAATGACCTGACAATTCCAGCTACCTTCACCACCTCTCAGCTGTTGGGTTTAGAGTTGTAACAAGGGGGTGACAGGGCTCTAACTGAAGAATAGAGTGTGGTGATGTGACAGGCAGAGGAGACAAGGGTACAGGCAGGGCAAGTGTGCAGAAAGCTGGCAGTAGCTAAGACGAAGCAGTTCTAGCTATGTGGACCCTGATGTCCATGGGATTAGTAACCATCCTGAGAAGGCTGACAAGGAGATTCATTTCCTGAGAGCTCCAGCAGATCCCTGCAGCCCCGTCGAATCTCTAGCATCATCTCCAGCTGTCTACCTCTGCTGTGTCCTCAGCGTAGAAAGCACAGAAGGCATAATGCCATGTTACTGGTCACACACAGGACAGCTTTATGGCCGAGCACAAAACTAAGGCCATAGTAAGTTGCAAGACCTTGGAAGGGTGAACCGCAGCTCGAAGGGGCTGCAATGGCAGAAGGAAGGGGGAGCTCACAGCGGCAGAAAGGAGTACGGGGCAAGGCGATAAGGCTGTGGAAGGTTGTTTCCGCACTGTCTCATTTGTCCCCGCGAGCAGCGGATGGGAGCGGGGCCAGGGCGGGTTGGGGTGGATGGAGCCCGACCCCCTTCCGCAGGGCTTGGCAGGGCCGGGACAGAGCTGCAGAGGTGATGGGAGATCAGGACCGGAGCCTCCGTCTGCCGGGGGGAGGCGCTCCTCCTGTGCCCCGCGGCCCTCCCTGCGGTATCCCCAAACCCCTTCTCCGGGCGCGAAGGGGCCGCGGCACCGGGGGCCGGTCCGGGGCGAGTCTGTTGGAGGCGGGCAGAGGCGTCGGTGCTGCGCTGGCGAGGGACCAAGGAGGCGGGGCGGGCAGGACCGGGTAAGAGCGCGTCTCCACTCAGCTGCTCTCCGGCTCCCGCATGATGGTGACCGCTCTGGGCCCGTGGCTCCTGGCCTTGGCACTGGGGCCGGCAGGTGAGAGCCAGGCGATCCCGGGGCTGGGAAAGAGGAAAGGAACGGGAAAGAGAAAGAGACAGGGACAGGACTAGCGAAGGGGAGACAGAGGAAAGGGATGGGAAGGCAGAGGGAACGTGAAGGAGAAGAAGAGGGAAGGCAGAGGGAAGGTTGCGCCCGGTGGTCGTGGTCCCGGTATCGGCGTCAGGGGAGGCTCAGCCCCGAGAAGGGCAGGCAGATCCCTGGCCCCGGGCTCTGGGCTTTGCCGGGATAGAGGAGGGTGGCGGCGGTCGCTGTGCTAGGGCGAGAGCGCCGAGGGTTGTGTGAACGGCTTCGGATCGTTTTTGTGCCCTGCCCGGCTTCCTGCACCCCCCATCCGCAGGGCTGTGGGCGCAGCTCAAAGTGGAGCAAACCGGCGGAGGGCTGCGAGCGCCCGGGGACTCCGTGCTCTTCTCCTGCCGCGGATACGGCTTCAACTTTGGGATTTACTTCGTTCAGTGGTACCGTCAGGCACCCGGAGGCAGATTCGAGTGGGTGTCCTTCATCAATCCCTCCTCAACTTCCACGGAATACGCAGCAACTGTGGAAGGTCGAGCCACTGTCTCCCGGGACAATTCCCGGTCTGAGGCATCTCTGTCCCTGCGTGCCCTGCAGCCTCAGGACTCTGCTCGCTACTTCTGCACCGTGTATCTTCACACGGAGACAGGAAAAGCAGCTGAGCTTTAACATAAACGTGCTGTGCCCGCCCGGGGGGCAAAAGCTGTGAGGCGAGTGAGTGCTGCAACATCGATGAGGGAAAGCTCAGGGCTGTTGGCAGGGAGTGAGGGACCATCAGTGCTCATCACAGGGATTCCTGTGCTTTCTTGCCCACTGAAGGAAATGAAATTGATCCGTACTAAAAGAGAGCAGGAATGTGAGAAGCAGAATAAAGCAGAGCAAAAACTAATTCCACCTTGTCCCTACACATCCTTCCCACATTTAGCTTCACTCCTGACATTTCCACCTCCTCTCTCTCTAGGTGGCATCGGAGCGATGGGTCGTGGGGTAAATTGAAAACACTTCACCCCTATTCCTAACGTCCTCCTTTCCGTGGTCAGCAGACCTTCAAAAGGAGCTCCCGGGTTTTCTTTTCCCAAGAGCTGCAGTCCTTCGCGATAAACCTGTTCCAAAATGGGATCCCCACAGTTCCAAGCTCCTATCATGGGGCTCCGTGGCCCTGGGTGTCTGGTCTCTTCCACCATCTTCAGGGCTGTTACGTGAAAGGAGAGATTTTCGCAGCCTCTGGTGTCTTTATCCATCAGCACTCCAGGAAAGCCGAGAAAGTCAGTGTCCCACCATAGAGACCCTACAGCGATCAGTCTTTAGGGCGATTCGACTGACTGGTTTAGGGAAACCCGCAGGCAGCATCAGGGGAATAGCTCAGTGGGTCTGCCCACTTGATGTTACTCTCTGCCGGCAGCTGCTGGTGCCCATGAAGGACTGACACTCTCAGTTAACAGAATAACACTTTATTAAGGATGCTTTGAGACTGGTTGGGCACAAGGGTCTCGGCTCCCTGGGGCACTGATAGATCGAGCAGTAGAGGTTGAGAAAATCTCCCCCTCTTTCACGTGACGTAGTTCCTTCCCTCCCGTTGTGGGTGAGCCCCGACAGGCAGTTAAGCACCACAGGGGCACTGGCTCAATGTCCCCTCAGCAGGACGGGGGAGAGAACTGGAAGGGTAAAAGAGGTAAAAGCTGTAGGTTTAGATCAAGACGGTTTAATAGGTGAAGGAAAAGCAAAGTAAGGAATTGATTCCCTACTTCCCATTCGCAGGCAGGTGTTTGGCCATTGCCAGGAAAGCCGGCCTTCCTCGCGCCTACGGGGGAGGGCAAAAGCCGTAACTCCAAACGTCGAGAGCCGGGAGCCTCCGTCTGCCGCGGCACCGCGCTCCTGCTGTGCCCGCAGCCCACCCCACGATATCTGCGGTCCTTTTCCTGCTGCGAAGGGGCCGCCGTACCCCCGGGGCGGGTCTGTTGGGGGCGGGCAGAGGCGTCCGCGCTGCCCCGGCGAGGAGCCGAGGCGGAGGGGTGCGAGGATCGGGTCCGTGCACGCCTCGGCTCAGCTCCGCTCTGGCTCCTGCATGATGGGGGCTGCGCTGGGCCCGTGGCTGCTGGCCATAGCCTTGGCCTTGGGGCTGGCAGGTGAGTGCCGGGAGCAGAGGGCAGCAAGGGCAGGGCTGCTGAAGGGGGGAAGGACAGGGAAGGGACGAGACCAAAGGTAAGATTGGCAAAGGCACCGCAGAGTGAAGGGAGAAGTGATCAGAATGCAGATGGAAGGGAAGGAAACAGAAGGGAAAATATGAAAAGGGAAGGCAGAGGAAGAGGAAACTGTAGGAAAGAAAGAACGAAGAGAAAGGGAAGGAAAGCTCTGCTCCGATGCCCTGGTGTCAGTATCAGGCGCTGCTCAGCCCCGAGGAGGTCAGGCGGGGCCCTGCCCGGGGCTCTGGGCTTTGCTGGGAGAGAGAAGGATGGCGGCAGCCGCTGTGCTAGGGCTGGGACGACGGAGGTGCGGGTGATCGGCCTCGGGTCGGGGTTGCGCCCTGCCCGGCTGCCTCCGCTCTCCATCTGCAGGGGTGTGGGCACAGCTCAGGCTGGAGGAGACCGGCGGAGGACTGCGAGCGCCCGGGGACTCCGTGCTCCTCTCCTGCCGCGGATACGGCTTCAATTTCGGGACTTACTTCGTTCTGTGGTACCGTCAGGCACCCGGAGGCAGACTCGAGTGGGTGTCCTTCATCAATCCCTCTTCGACTTCCACGGAATACGCAGCCTCCGTGGAAAGTCGAGCCACTGTCTCCCGGGACATTTCCCGGTCTGAGTCATCTCTGTTCCTGCGTGCCCTGCAGCCTCAGGACTCTGCTCGCTATTTGTGCGCCGTCCTCCCTCACACAGAGACAGGAAAAGCATCTGAGCTTTAACAGAAAGCTTCTGAGCCCGCCCGGGGTGCAAAAGCTGTGGGGCGAGTGAGTGCTGCAACATCTATGAGGGAAAGCTCAGGGCTGTTGGCAGGGAGTGAGGGACCATCAGTGTTCATCACAGGGGTTCCTGTCCTTTCTTGCACACAGTTACCTGCTGCTGGCGATTGCTGACGCCCATGAAGGACTGACTCAGTTAACAGAATAACACTTTATTAAGGATGCTTTGAGACTGGTTGGGCACAAGGGTCTCGGCTCCCTGGGGCACTGATAGATCGAGCAGTAGAGGTTGAGAAAATCTCCCCCTCTTTCACGTGACGTAGTTCCTTCCTTCCCATTGTGGGTGAGCCCCGACTGGCAGTTAAGCACCATAGAGGCACTCGCTCAATGCCCCCTCAGCAGGACGGGGGAGAGAACTGGAAGGCTAAAAGAGAAAAGCTGTAGGTTTAGATCAAGACGGTTTAATAGGTGAAGGAAAAGCAAAGTAAGGAATTGATTCCCTACTTCCCATTCGCAGGCAGGTGTTTGGCCATTGCCAGGAAAGCCGGCCTTCCTCACGGCTACAGTTGAAGACTAAAGCCGTAACTCCAAACGTCGAGAGCCGGGAGCCCGCTTTTGCCAGGGGGCCATGCTCTTCCTGTGCCGTACTACCCTTCCCGTCCTTCCCCTTTGCATGCTGCAAAGGGGCCGCGGCACCGGGGGCTCAGTCCGGGGAGAGTCTGGGGCGGTTCGAGGCGGGGGGGTGGGCAGGAGCAGGCGCGGGCTCGTCTCTGCTCTGGCTCCCGCATGATGGTGGCCACGCTGGGCCCGTGGCTGCTGGCCCTAGCCTTGGCCTTGGGGTCGGCAGGTGAGCGCCGGTCGGGGAGGGCAGCGAGCGAGGGGCTGGGGGAGAGGGACGGGGAGGAACAGATGGGCAGGGAAAGGACGGAGACAGAAAAGGATTGGCAAAGAGAAGGCAGAGTGAAGGGAGAATGGAAGAGAAGCAGAAAGATGAAAAGGGAAGGCAGAGGGAGAGGAAAGTGAAAGAGAGGAAGAAGGAATACAAGGGCAGGGAAGGTTTTGTGCCGCAAACGCGGCCCCGTTGTCGGCAGCTGGCGCGACTTAGCCCCGAAGTGGGCAGGCAGGGCCCTGTCCCGGGCGCAAGGCTCTGCCAGGGTATGGAAGCCGAGTGATCGGCCTCGGGTCGTGGTTGCGCCCTGCCCGGCTGCCTGCACTCTCCGTCCACAGGAGTGTGGGCGCAGATCAGGCTGGAGGAGACCGGCGGAGGGCTGCGAGCGCCCGGGGACTCCGTGCTCTTCTCCTGCCGCGGATACGGCTTTAGGTTCGAGGAATATAACATTCGGTGGTACCGTCAGGCACCCGGAGGCAGACTCGAGTGGGTGTCCATCATCAGCTTTGATTCTTCAATCGCTAAATTTGTGCAGTCCATGGAGAGTCGAGCTAACGTCTCCCGGGACAATTCCCGGTCTGAGGCATCTCTGTCCCTGCGTGCCCTGCAGCCTCAGGACTCTGCTCGCTACTTCTGCACCGTGTATCTTCACACGGAGACAGGAAAAGCAGCTGAGCTTTAACATAAACGTGCTGTGCCCGCCCGGGGTGCAAAAGCTGTGGGGCGAGTGAGTGCTGCAACATCTATGAGGGAAAGCTCAGGGCTGTTGGCAGGGAGTGAGGGACCATCAGTGTTCATCACAGGGATTCCAGTCTTGTCTTGCACACTGAAGGAAATATAATCGATCCCAAACTAAAAAAGAGCGGGAATGTGAGAAGCAGAATAAAGCAGAGCAAAAACTAAATCCACCTTGTCCTCGCACATCCTCCTTTCTTCCCACGTTATTTTCACTTCTGACTTAGATCCTCTCTCCAGGTGGTGCAGGGGCTATGGAATAAACAGATAACACTTCATCTCTACTCTTACAGAGGACAAAAGCCGTAACTCCAAACGTCGAGAGCCTGGAGCCTCCGTCTGCCGCGGCGCCGCGCTCCTGCTGTGCCCGCATCCCACCCCACGATATCTGCGCTCCTTTTCCTGCTGCGAAGCGGCGGCGGTACCGCCGGGGCGGGTCTGTCGGAGGCGGGCAGAGTCGTACGCGCTGCCCCGACGAGGAGCAGAGGCGAAGGGGCGAGGAGGATCGCGCCCCTGCCCGGCTCCGCTAGGCCGTTTTCCAGCGTCCCACATGATGGTACCCTCGCTAGGGCTGTGGCTGCTGGCCGTGGCCTTGGGGCTGGCAGGTGAGCACCGGGAGCGGAGAGCAGCAAAGGCGGGGCTGCTGAAGGGGAGAAGGAAAGGGGAGGGACGGGGACAAAGACAGGATTGGCAAAGGGAAGGCAGAGTGAAGGGAGAAAGGTAGAGATCAGAATGTAGATGGAAGGGAAGGAACGTGAAGGGAAAAGATGGAAAGGGAAGGCAGAGGGAGAGGAAAGAGAAGGAAAGAAAGAACGAAGAGAATGAGGGGAAAGATTTCACCCCGTTGCCCTTGTGTCGACATCAGGAGCAGCTCAGCCCCGAGGAGGTCAAGCGGGGCTCTGCCCCGGACGCTGGGCTTTGCCGGGACAGAGGAGGGTGGCGGAGGTCCCTCTGCCTCCGTGAGGGCTCAGGGGAGCCGGGTGAACGGCCTCTGGCCGTGGTTGTGCTCTGCCCTGCTGCCTCCGCTCTCCATCCGCAGGGGTGTGGGCGCAGCTCAAAGTGGAGCAAACCGGAGGAGGGCTGCGAGCGCCCGGGGACTCCGTGCTCTTCTCCTGCCGGGCACGCGGCTTTACCTTCGATTATGCTAGAATTTCGTGGTTCCGTCAAGCACCCGGAGGCAGACTCCAGTTTTTGTCCACTATCAGCTTTGATTCTTCAGTCACTAAATTTGTGCAGTCCGTGGAGGGTCGAGCTAATGTCTCCCGGGACAATTCGCGGTCGGAAGCATCTATGTCCCTGCGTGCCCTGCAGCCTCAGGACTCTGCTCGCTATTTCTGCGGCGTTCACACAGAGACAGGAAAAGCAGCTGAACTTTAACAGAAACGTGCTGAGCCCGCCCGGGGTGCAAAAGCTGTGGGACGAGTGAGTGCTGCATCATCGGTGAGGGAGAGCTCAGGGCTGTTGGCAGGGAGTGAGGGACCATAAGTGTTCATCACAGGGGTTCCTGTCCTTTCTTGCACACTGAAGGAAATGTAATCGATCATCTACTAAACGAGAGCAGGAATGTGAGAAGCAGAATAAAGCAGAGCAAAAACTACATCCACCTTGTCCTCACACATCCTTCTTCCCACATTTAGCTTCACTCCTGACTGATCCACCTCCTCTCTCCAGGTGGCACAGGGGCGATGGGTTGTGGGGTACATCAGTATGACTTCATGTCTACCCTTACGTCCTGCTTTCCCTGGTCATCAGGCCTACACAGATTGCTCCCGGGTGGTTTCTTCCCAAGGGCTACAGTCCTTCGGAATAAACCTGTTCCAACATGGGCTGTCCACAGTCCCAAGTTCCTATCATGCGGCTCTGGTTTCTTCACCATCTTCAGGGCTGTCACGTGAAAGGGGGAGATTTTCTCAATCCCTGGTGTTTGATTTATCCATCAGCACCCAGAGAAAGTCGAGACCCTTATGACCAACCTGTCAGTGTCCCACTATAGAGACCCTGCACCGAACAGTCCTGATGGTTTGGAGATTCGACTGACTGGTTTAGGGAAACGCGCAGCCAGCATCAGGGGGACACCTCAGTGGGTCTGCCCACTTGATGTTACCCGCTGCAGGAGACTGCTGGCGCCCATGAAGGACTGACACTCTCAGTTAACAGAATAACATTTTATTAAGGATGCTTTGAGACTGGTTGGGCACAAGGGTCTCAGCTCTCCTGGGGCACTGATAGATCGAGCAGTAGAGGTTGAGAAAATCTCCCCCTCTTTCACGTGACGTAGTTCCTTCCCTCCCATTGTGGGTGAGCCCCGACAGACAGCTATGCACCATAGAGGCATTCGCTCAATGCCCCATCAGCAGAACAGGGGACAGAACTGGAAGGGTAAAAGAGAGAAAAGCTGTAGGTTTAGATCAAGACGGTTTAATAGGTGAAGGAAAAGCAAAGTAAGGAATTGATTCCCTACTTCCCATTCGCAGGCAGGTGTTTGGCCATTGCCAGGAAAGCCGGCCTTCCTCGCGCCTACGGGGAGGGCAAAAGCCGTAACTCCAAACGTCGAGAGCCGGGAGCCTCCGTCTGCCGCGGCACCGCGCTCCTGCTGTGCCCTGCTACCCACCCCGTCCCTCTCCTTCTCGTGCTGCAAGGAGGCTGCGGCACGGGGGTGCCCGTCCGGGGCCGGTCTGTTGGGGCGTTTCGAGGAGGCGGGGTGGGCAGGGAGGGGGGCAGGATTCGTTCCGTGCCCGGCTCCGCTCGGACCCTCTCCAGCTCCCGCATGATGGTGCCCGTGCTGGGTCCGTGGCTGCTGCCCTTTGCCTTAGGGCTGGCAGGTGAGCACCTGGCGGGGATGGCAGCAAGCGCAGGGCTGCTGAAGGAGAGAGGGACAGGGAAGGGACGGGGACAGAGACAGGATTGGCAAAGGGAAGGAAGAGGGAAGGGAATGGAAGAGAAGAGGAGAGATGGAAAGGGAAAGCAGAGGGAGAGGAAAAGGAGGGAAAGAACGAAGAGAAGGAGAGGGAAAGCAGAGGAAAGGTTTCCTCCCACAGTCGTGACCCTATTGTCGGCCGCTGGAGCAGCTCAGCCAAAGGAGGGCAGGCGGGGCTCTGACCCCGGCTCTGGGCTTTGCCGGGACAGAGGAAGGTGGCAGCGGTCGCTGTGGCGTTGCGGGGAAGCAGGGGCGGCGGGCGATCGGATTCGGGCCGTGGTTGTGCCCTGCCCGGCTGCCTGCACTCTCCGTCCACAGGGGTGTGGGCGCAGATCAGGCTGGAGGAGACCGGCGGAGGGCTGCGAGCGCCCGGGGACTCCGTGCTCCTCTCCTGCCGCGGATACGGCTTTAGGTTCGAGGAATATAGCATTCGGTGGTACCGTCAGGCACCCGGAGGCAGACTCGAGTGGGTGTCCTACATCAAGTACGATTCTTCAGTCGCTAAATTTGTGCAGTCCGTGCAGAGTCGAGCTAACGTCTCCCGGGACAATTCCCGGTCTGAGTCATATCTGTTCCTGCGTGCCCTGCAGCCTCAGGACTCTGCTCGCTATTTGTGCGCCGTCCTCCCTCCCACGGAGACAGGAAAAGCAGCTGAGCTTTAACAGAAAGCTTCTGAGCCCGCCCGGGGTGCAAAAGCTGTGGGGCGAGTGAGTGCTGCAACATCGATGAGGGAAAGCTCAGGGCTGTTGGCAGGGAGTGAGGGACCATCGGTGTTCATCACAGGGATTCCTGTCCTTTCTTGCACACTGAAGGAAATGAAATTGATCCTCCACTAAAATAGATCAGGAATGTGAGAAGCAGAATAAAGCAGAGCAAAAACTACATCCATCTTCTCCTCACACATCCTCCCTTCTTCCCACATTTAGCTTCACTCCTGACTTAACTCCTCTCTCCAGGCGGCACAGGGACGATTGGTTGTGGGGTAAATTGATAACATTTCATCTCTTTTCTTACGTCCTCCCTCCTGTTGTCACCAGGCCTTCACAAAATGCTCCCGGGTGGTTTCTTCTCAAGGGCTGCAGTCCTTCCGGATATACCTGTTTCAAAATGGGCTCTCCACAGTTCCAAGCTCCTATCATGGGGCTTTGTGACTCTAGGTCCCTGTTCTATTCCCCCTGCTTCAGGGCTGTCACATGAAAGGGGGAGAGATTTTCTCAGCTTCTGGTGTTTGATTTGCCCACCAGCACCCAAAGAAAACCAAGATACTTATCCCCAACCAGTCTGTCAGTATCCCATTATAGAGACCCTTCACCCAACAGTCCTGATGGATTGGAGGGAGATTCGACTGGCTGGTTTAGGGAAACGCGCAGCCAGCATCAGGGGGACACCTCAGTGGGTCTGCCCACTTGATGTTACCCGCTGCAGGAGAATGCTGGCGCCCATGAAGGACTGACACTCTCAGTTAACAGAATAACACTTTATTAAGGATGCTTTGAGACTGGTTGGGCACAAGGGTCTCAGCTCTCCTGGGGCACTGATAGATCGAGCAGTAGAGGTTGAGAAAATCTCCCCCTCTTTCACATGACGTAGTTCCTTCCCTCCCATTGTGGGTGATCCCCGACTGGCAGCTATGAACCATAGAGGCACTCGCTCAATGCCCCATCAGCAGGACGGGGGAGAGAACTGGAAGGCTAAAAGAGAAAAGCTGTAGGTTTAGATCAAGACGGTTTAATAGGTGAAGGAAAAGCAAAGTAAGGAATTGATTCCCTACTTCCCATTCGCAGGCAGGTGTTTGGCCATTGCCAGGAAAGCCGGCCTTCCTCGCGCCTACGGTCGAGGACAAAAGCCGTAACTCCAAACGTGGAGGACCGGGAGTCTCCGTCTGCCGGGGCGCCGCGCTCCTCCTGTACCTGCGACCCTCCCGTCCCTCCCTTCTCCCCTCTCCCTTCAACTGCCGCGAAGGGGCCGCGGTACCTTGGGGGGGGTCTTTTGGGGGGGGAGCAAAGTCATCAGTGCTGCCCCGGCGAGGAGCCGAGGCGGCGGGGCAGGGAGGATCGTGCCCGTGCCCGGCTCCGGTACTCTCGGATCCAATCCGGCTCCGCGTGATGGTGCCCGAACTAGGGCCGTGGCTGCTGGCTTTGGCTTTGGGGATGGAAGGTGAGCGCCGGTCGGGGAAGGCAGCCAGCGCGGGGCTGGGGAAGAGGGACAGGGAAGGGACGGGGAAAGGGACACGTTTGGCGAAGGGAAGGCAGAGGGAAAATAGAGGAAGAGATCGGAAGGGAAGGCAGAGGGAGAGGAGAAGGAGAGAAAGACGAGAAGGAGGGGGAATGCAGGGGGTAGGCTGCGTCCGGCAGTGTTGGCCCCTGTGTCGGCATCAGGCGCGACTCAGTCCCAGGCGCTGCCCCGGGCGCTGGGCTTTGCCGGGAGAGGAGGGTGGCGGCGGTTGCTGTGCCGGGGTGAGAGCCCAGGGTCGGCGGGTGAACGACCTCGGGTCGGGGTTGCGCCCTGCCCGGCTGCCTGCACTCTCCGTCCGCAGGGGTGTGGGCACAGATCAGGCTGGAGGAGACCGGCGGAGGACTGCGAGCGCCCGGGGACTCCGTGCTCCTCTCCTGCCGCGGATACGGCTTCCGCTTTGGAGCTTACGAGCTTCTGTGGTACCGTCAGGCGCCCGGAGGCAGACTCGAGTGGGTGTCCTTCTCGAGAGGCTACTCGGATAGCACGGACTACGCAGCAGCGGTGGAAGGTCGAGCCACTGTCTCCCGGGACAATTCCCGGTCTGAGGCATCTCTGTCCCTGCGTGCCCTGCAGCCTCAGGACTCTGCCCGCTACTTCTGCGCTGTACACACGGAATCAGGAAAAGCAGCTGAGCTCTAACAGAAACCTGCTGCGCCCAGCTCAAGTTAACATTAGATAAGGGAAAGTGAGAGTTGTCACAGTCGAGGAGGGTGTGTGAGGCTTAGAGCAATTCTCTTGGATTGTGCTAGCACTTCCCTCCCACAGTATATAGTCCTTTATTAGCTCCTTCACTGTGGTTCCTCCCCATGGGATACAGCCGTTCAGAAACAGACTGCTCCAGTGCGGACCACTCAAAGGCTACAGATCCTTCCGTAAAGCCTGCTCTTCCCTGGGCTCTTTAAGTGCACCGGGTTCTTTCAGGATATATCCAGCTTATGCAGCACAGGGTCCTCTATGGGCTGCAGCCAGACAATCTGTTTCACCCTTATTTTCTTCACAGGCTGCAGGAGAATCTGTGCTCCTTCACCTGGAGCATCTCCTCAACCTCCTTGTTTACTGACCTTGGTGTCTGCAGGATTTTTATCTCAGTTTTTCATAATTTTCCCTCACAGATGCTGTGCGGTACTTTTTACCTGTTGTAAATATGCTTTCACAGAGGCACTGCCAGCTTAGCTGATTGGCTTAACTTTGGCCAGCAATGGACCAATTTGAGCTGGCTGGTATCACCCATGTCTGACACAGGGGCAGCCCTGTTCTCCTTGCGCAGAGACAACCTGCGCAGCCTGCTCGGCTTCACAGCCCTTGCCATGTAAACACAATAGAGCCATAAGGTAACACTGGTGACACATGCTCAACTTGGTGTCCACTTAGGCCTTAGAGCCTTTCCAGCTGAACAGACTCCAGCATGTCTGGTACTTTGCATCGTTGTTCCCAGGTACCAGTTCTTTCCCCCTCCCATTGTGGATGAGCCCCGACAGCCAGCTAAGCACTACGGAAGTGCTCGCTCAATGCCCCCAGAGGAGATGGGGGAGAGAACTGGAAGGGTAAAAGAGAGAAAAGTCGTAGGTTTAGATCAAGACGGTTTAACAGGTTAAGAAAAAGGTGCACGCACAAGCCAAGTAAGTAAATAATGGATTACCTACTTCCCATTCGCAGGCAGGTGTTTGGCCGTTGCCAGGAAAGCCGGCCTTCCCCGCGCCCACAGGTGAAGAGAAAAGCCGTAACTCCAAACGTCGAGGGCCGGGAGCTTCCGTCTGCCGCGGCACCGCGCTCCTCCTGCGCACCGCCACCCTCCCCGCAATATCCCCCCTCACTTCTCCGGCCGCGGCACCGCGGGGCCGCTCCGGGGCGGGTCTGCTGGGGGCGGGTACCGGCGTGGGCGCTGCCCCGGTGAGGGACCGAGGCCGCTTGGCGGACAGGAGCGGGCCCGAGCGCGTCTCCGCTCGGCTCCTCTCCGGCTCCCGCATGATGGTGCCCGGGCTGGCGCTGTGGCTGCTGGCCTTGGGGTCGGCAGGTGAGCGCCGGTCGGGGAGGGCAGCGGGCGCGGGGCTGGGGAAGGGAGAGGGGCAGGGAAAGAACGGGAACAGGGGCAAGATTGGTGAAGGGAAGGCAGAGAGAAGGGAAGGGAACTGAGGGAAGCGCAGGGAAGGAACGGCAGCAGGAAAAGAAGGGGAGGGAAGGCAGAGGGAAGGTTTCGTCCCGCAATCGCGGCCCCTGTGTCGGCGTCAGGCGCGGCTCAGCTAAAGGAGGGCAGGCGGGGGGCATTGCCCTGGGCGCAAGGCTCTGCCGGGACAAAAGAGGGTGGCGGCGGTCGCTGTGTCGGGGTGGGGGCGCCGGGCCGGAGGGTGAACGGCCTCGGGTCGGGGTTGCGCCCTGCCCGGCTGCCTGCGCTCTCCATCCGCAGGGGTGTGGGCGCAGCTCAGGCTGGAGGAGACCGGCGGAGGGCTGCGAGCGCCCGGGGATTCCGCGCTCTTCTCCTGCCGGGCAATTGGCTTCACCTTCGAGAATTACGAAATTCAGTGGTACCGTCAGGCGCCGGGAGGCAGACCCGAGTGGGTGTCCATCATCAGCTTTGATTCTTCAGTCACTAAATTTGCGCAGTCCATGGAGAGTCGAGCTAATGCCTCCCGGGACAGTTCGGAGCTTGAATCATCTCTGTCCCTGCATGCCCTGCAGCCTCAGGACTCTGCCCGCTACTTCTGTGCCGTTTACACGGAGACAATAAATCAAGCTGAGCTTTAACAGAAAGCTGCTGGGGCCCCAGCAGGGTGCACAAGCTGTGAGGAGTAGTGTGCTGTGGCATCACAGGCCTGTTCCAGGGAAAGAGGTGCAGGGGAGAGCCATCTGTGCACATCATGGTGGTCGTGGCTTTCCAGCAAGGGCTCCTTTTCTAGCACTGCCATTTCCCATCTCCTGAGTCGCAGATGCAGTGATTAATTCTGTGGGTTTCAAAATATTCCTTGTCACCCAGCCAGTCTCTGCCTTTCCTTCTTCTTTTGGCCCCCTTCTTCTCTGGGGTACCCAAAGCCCTTGGACTTTGGCAACTGCGTTGTCTGGCAACATGATTGCCCCCTTCAATTGAGCCTTTTGTGGGCCTTTTTCTTGTGCCAGTGACAGCAAAGCACTAACTGAATACCCGTGTTTTGTTTTTTTTCAGTTGCATTTCAGAGTGATGAGATCCAAGCGACAGTGTCTGCAGTGTGGTGGCAGGCAGGGAATAGCGGGACCTTAAGATGTACTTACAGCTCCAATGCCTCTTATGTTTACGTGGCCTGGTATAGGCAGCGTCCCGATGGACCCCTGCAGTACTTGGTGCAGAGTAAGGGCCGGGGAGGCTCCTATAGCCACACAGCCCCTTTTTTTCGCAAGAGGTTTTCCTGCCAGGCTGATGAGAGCTCCGGGACACTCTTCATCTCTGTGCTGGAGCTGGAGGACAGTGCGCTCTATTACTGCTCCCTGCAGGGACCACAGTGGGAGATACTTGGAGCGCGTCTGAACAACATCAGCTTCCTCCTCTGCAGCTGTCCCCTCCTGCATGTTCGCAGGGGTCACAGCCTGTCTCCGTGGCAAGTCAGTGAGCAGGCTGTGCCAGGGATCAGAGCCGGGGGGGTCTCGTGTCTGGGTGCTGTCAGCGGCCCAGAGATGTGTGAAACCTGGGTAGAGCGGATGTGTGGGCAGAGAGGGGCTGGGGAGAGGTGAGCAGGACCTGCTCTGGCCATGTCCGTGTTCTGTCACCCGGGCCGGGGCGGGTCTGTTGGGGGCGGGCAGAGGCGTCGGCGCTGCCCGGTGAGGGGCCGAGGAGGCGGGGCGGGCAGGAGAGGTCCAGAGCCCGACTGCGCTCGGCTCCTCTCCGGCTCTCCCAGGATGGTCCCCGCGCTGGGGCACTGGCTGCTGGCCTTGGCGTCGGCCTTGGGGTCGGCAGGTGAGGGCCGGCGGGGAGGACACCGAGCCCAGGGCTGGGGAAGAGGAGAGGGCCAGGACTGGCGAAGGGAAATCAGAGGGAAGGGAAGAGGTAGGAAGAGAAGGGGGAGGAAGACGGAAGGCAGAGGGAAGGTTTCGTCCCGCGGCCCCAGTGTCGGCATCTGGAGCGCCTCAGCCCCGAGAAGGGCAGGGGGGCACTGCTGTGGTCGCGGGGCTTTGCCGGGAGACAGTGGGGTGACGGCGGTCGCTGTGCCGGGGCGGGGGCCGCCGGAGGGGGGGCGGGCGAACGGCTTCGGGTCGTGGTTGCGCCCTGCCCTGCTGCCTGCGCTCTCCATCCGCAGGGGTGCGGACGCACTTCAGGCTGAAGGAGGCCGGTGGGGGGCTGCGAGCGCCCGGGGACTCCGTGCTCCTCTCCTGCCGGGCAATTGGCTACAACTTCGAGAATTACCCCTTTCGGTGGTACCGTCAGGCGCCCGGAGGCAGACTCGAGTGGGTGTCCCTTTCGTGGTCATTGGGTGCTGCAGAATACGCAGCAGCGGTGGAAGGTCGAGCCACAACATCCTGGGACAATTCGCAATCCAAGTCATCTCTGTCCCTGCGTGCCCTGCAGCCTCAGGACTCTGCCCGCTACTTCTGTGCCATTCACCCAGAGACAGGAAATCCGCCTGAGCTTTAACACATACCTGCTGTCAGGGTCCCAGATTGGGCCTTGGAGCTGTATAGGACAGTGGTTAAGCTTCTGCTACCTTTCTTCCCATGTTTCAAGCCAATCCTTAGGCCTCTCACAGTCTGAAACCTCTTCACCTTTGGAAACAAGTTTTGCTGTTTCCTTCAGTTCCCACTATGACAAGTACCCAGTCATGGCCCAGCTGGTGAGGTGTTAGTAGCCCTGCTCTGGTTTTAGGCACAGTTCAGGTCGACTCAGTTCAGTCCATGAGCTTTTCTGCCTGATATGCAGAGGGAATGGGGAAAGTAGAGAGGGTGATTTGGGAGCTCACAGGACAAAGACAAGGTCTGTGTTTCTCTTCCAGATCTGAGGCTGTAATAGGAGAAGGAGTTTGAGGATCTGTGTTTGTATCTGCTGGATCCTGGAGATCACCTGGCAAAGCCCAAGAAAGCAGTGGAGGAGACGAAGCGATTGAGCTGTTCCTACCTATTCATCCTTGTCTCCTGTGGTCACAGGTGCCCTTTCTCAGGTGCAGACAGAGGTGTCTGGTCACATGGTAGGGAAGGTCTCAGAGATACCTGCCACACCTCAGGTGTACCCATCACCACAGCAGCTCTGCATGGGCCTGGATCTGGTAGACTCCTGGCAGAGACTCTTGTTGGCTGCAACAAGTCTTCTCAAGACTAGCCTGGGCTGGCTTTTCCTAATGGGGGCAGAAAGGTGTTGGTGCAGCAACATCAGAGCCTCTCACAACCATGCACAAACCCCATGATCATAGAATCACAGAATGCTTAGGAGTTGGAAGGGACTTCTAAGATCACCTAGTCCCAACTCTTCTGTTCTCACTCTTTCCCACAGGCAGAAAACTACAACAAGTTTTATTTAAGAAGCAGCACAATAAGCACTGAAGGACTAAAGTCTGAGACTTGCATCCCCCTTCTTCTTTTCCCAGCATCAAATCTCCAGTTTCAATGTGTTCCTCTACTTTCTGCAAGTCTCCTTCCCATACCTGTCCTTGATTCCCTCCCAAAGGGAGTGCCCATGAGAAGAGAGGGGAGGGAAAGGCTTCACACAGTCCTTTGAGTCAGCAGTTTTCCTCAGAATGGTGGTAACAGCATGTGACACAGGATTCAGTAGTTGTCCCATCCGATGGCTGAAGCTCTGGGTTCCTGCTGAACGAGCACAGAGAAGGGAACGTCCCTACTCTGCTGAGCAGCCCCAACAGCCTGGTCTATGCTAAGTCCTGTGCATGTAAGTTTTGGTGAGTGAGCTGGTGAGCATCACCCTGCATATTTGCCCCAGACCAACAGCACAACCCAGGTCTCATCCCCAGAGCCCTGTAGGGCTTTTGCTGCTTGTGTTGTCTGGGTAGCCCTTGCCAAGGAAAAAGCAGGTGGAGAAGTGTCAGCATGAGGCAATGAGAGTGTTTGTAGAACTAGGGTGCTGGACTAGAGTGGAGAGCACTGAGTGGGCAGCACGTTTGCTTACAAGTGCCTTGTGCAAGCAGACCTGAGCTCAGAGCAGCTGCGTACCAGCACCAAGGGATGTGGGACCACTGGGATGAAGGTGTGCCATCCCCCAGGGCCAGCTCTGAAGTCCTAGCAGCACCCTGCAGTCCTTCCTTGCAGGGAGATCCAGTTGGCCCTACAGCAACACATTACCTGCTGCCCATCAGAAGTTTTCTTGCCAACCAAGCTCTCTGTATTCTGTTAATGAAAGGACAGGTTCTCCTGGAAAGAAGCAGGGTGGAGCTTTCAGTAACGGCTGAAGGAATTCAAGCACCCATGCACGCACAGACCACCTGCTAGCTCCCTTTCGAAAGTACCTTCATATGCCTAGGACACTTTTCTAGAGGGAAGGGAGACTCCCTCTCCTTTAATTTCCTCTGAAGCAGAACTGAAGGACACAATTATTTCCTGTAAGGGTGGTGAGGCACTGGAATAGATTGCCCAAGGAGGTTGTGAATGCTCCATCCCTGGCAGTGTTCAAGGCCAGGTTGGATAAAGCCTTGGGTGGCATGGTTTAGTGTGAGGTGTCCCTGCCCATGGCAGGGGGGTTGGAACTTGATGACCTTAAGGTCCTTTCCAACCCTAACTATTCTATGATTCTATGTTCAGTATCATCTTGTGGAACACCGATAGCCTAAATGTTCTAACTCATCAGTGGCAGTATTGAAGCACCTTCGGCAATTCTTTTTTGGGGGGTGGCCCAGGACAGAGAAAGAAAAACCAAAGGCAGAGCTCAGCTTTTAAACCAAACAAATCCAAGTGTGTGGTTTGTGTGAGGCTGTGAAGGCAGGTGTGTTTCTGTGGCCACTGGAATGGAAAAAGGCTGTTTAACTGCATCTGAGATCTCAGTGACAAGGAGGATACAGTCTCACTGGAAAGGGTGTGGGAGAAGTACCCAGGTCTTTTGCAGGAGGTATTTAGAGCTTGTTCTTTTTGTCCTGCCAATAGTTCAAGAGACTGGAAGTATCACATCAGCTAACTCTGCAAGTTTCCTGGAAGAGCGAGTCAATAAGGAGGAGAAAGTGATTTGATACGATAAAGGGAACAGCAGATGAACATGCATGTGTTAACACTGGAAAACATAGCAGCAGGAATAAAACAGTGATAAAAATAAGAAATATACCTTTGTATTTGGTAACAACAGTAATGCAAATAAAAGTACTGAGTAATGCAAAATGAAAGCACACAGATTTGTGTACAGGATGAGTTAATGCTATTTCCTTTTGTGTCTTGGACCTGGATTTGAGAGTTCAGAAACTCCTCTACAATTCCAGGTAACCATTAATCAAAGTCATGAAAGTAAGATAAAAATCAATTAAAAAACCAACTTTAGTTAACCATAACTAAATGTTCCCCACCTTCAAAATCAGTTAAAGGCACATATAAATGAACCAGAAATCCCAAGCAACCAGAAATCCCAAGCCAACTCAAATAACCTAGTTCACAAGATCAAAGAAACAGAAAAAGGGGTGCATATAATCATGAAAAACCTCCCAAAACCCTTATAAAAAGGGCACTCAAGAAATATTAAAAATCAAATTCCTGAGTAAATAAGCAACTGTAACACAGCAAGGCAAACAGATTCCCTTAAACCACCATCAGCTAAACCAGAATCGCTTCTGACCCATTCATAAGCATGTACTGACTTTTATTCAGCATAAAATCGGCCTTGGGAAGATAAATAGTTGAATGTCCAGAAAGAGTTAGAAAGTGTAGAATGAAACTAAACTGAAAGCTAATGACTGGCAGGAAAATAGTTCACCCTAACTCTCTTGATGTTTCTTAAATGACAAACCTTTAAGTAAAAACAGCTCTAACAACTCAAAGGGAACAATATTCCTTTTTGACCAGCATGGACAATATTTTAGTGGGAGATTAACACTACCCTATCTGCCTGAAAAAGCAATGCTTATAATGTTATTTTTAGTGCATAGCAACCTCTCTGCAACAGTGCTGGAGAGTTCAGAAGTAGAGCAGTGTAGATGGAAAGTAAAATCCAGCTCTTCAAAGGACAGGAAAGAGAAGACACCCACTGAGAAAAACGGAATGTTTTTGTAAAACTGGCTACCATGGTGTGTACTACGTACCACAGTGATTGAAAAAGGCTGAGCCACCACACAAAACTGTCTCACTCACTTCTCTTGAAGGTGGAAACACGGTGCCCTACAGTGTTGAACAAGGAAGGATTTGATCCATCTGCAGCAATTCCTTTACTCTTTAATAGCCACTTCCAGGAGTGCAGTGCTTTTACTTAACAAAGAACAATCATTTTGCCTACTTTCTCATCATAGTTAAAACAGCACAAAGACTTCTTAAGGCACCAAATCACCACCACACACCGACTCAAAGAGACCAGATAAGGTACACTTCTCATGCTCCTAAGCACTGAAACCAAATGCAAGGTGAAAAAGTAGACAGCTTCTTGCAGCCCAGAAGCAGCTTCATAAATGCTTTGGGATGGCACTAAAAGTATTGATTTTTCTTTCCTGATTTCTGTCCAGAAGCAGCTTCATAAATGCTTTGGGATGGCACTAAAAGTATTGGTTTTTCTTTCCTGCTTTCTGTCCAGCTTAACTCCATGAGACTTTTCAGATGCCTCATGTAATCCCCATGTTTTCACTTATAATTCAACCTTTTGGGTATTATTTTCAACCATTCTTTGAAAGCCATCTCATGTTCTTTCATATGGGTCAGAAACCACTCGAGAAGTCATATGACTGCCTCTGTAATCTGCGTAGTGAGAAAGAAGGAAGAGGTAGTTTTTGTTATGACATGTATCACTGTGTCTGGGACGTGGAGTACCACAGTGGTAAAAACACCACAGGGCTCTGTACAAATACTCAGAGAAGGAAAAAAGGCAATATATTTAGGAGAAGAAAGGACATGGGTGACTGAAATCGTTAAGGAGAGAGATATAACATTATTTTAATATTTCTATTTATCCTGGGAATACAGAGCTCACGGGGTTTCGAAAAGACAGAAGGAAGAACTTGGGAACTTTTACTCAGTCAAGCTTTTTGAAATCACTGGACTATTCAATGATCGTTTTTCCCTTTCCATGTTTGGAAGAAAATGTGGCTCTGGATACCCTTTCCAGGTTGCACACGTAGGTAAGTAGGGCAAATATCTGGCTTTTTATCTTCTGTTTTTACAACACTTTCAAATACCAGGGGGAAAGAGGTAGTTCTTGAAGCACGTATTACCAGTGTGGGCTTACATAAGCTGGTGTTTGGAAGTGGTACCACTCTCACAGTTGAACCAAGTAAGTAACATGATTTTATTTCTAAAATCTCTGTTAAAATTAAGGTGGGGAAAGAATCTGATGGTTTGGGTTCACTGTAAGAATTTTCTGCTGCAATAATCTCTAGAGTGCAGTTGCTCTGGCTGGGGCTTCAAGCTAAATACTCAGCTTGTATCTGCTTAGGAAGACTTTACAGGGACAACTGAGCTACTTCTGTATATCACTATTACTCCATGATCCTCAAATCCCAGGCTGGATAAGCACTCTGGCCCAGTGTGAAGTGTCCTGTCCTCCAGTGGATTTTCACTGCCTCATTTTGAGCAGGAATAAAGAGTTCAGTGGCAGTGGAGGGAGAGTTTGAGACAGATCTTTAACTCTCTGATATGAGAAGTGAGTTTTTGACCCTGACACCACACCAGGTAAATAATTCCGCTGGTATGGAGACAGAGGAGGAAGGAGGTGAAATATCCTTGGGCTTCAGTTTTCACAACTGCTGCATATCCAAGGCCACTTAGAATAAATGCAAACTGGCTACCAATATAGCTATGCTTTGAAAACACGGATGAGGTACGTAGAGATTCTAAGAAGCCTCAGTTCCTCCTATCTTTATTAGGAATTTCATCATGTACAAAAAAGCTGGATGTCACCCCCCACTTTCCTGTGGGAGCAGGAATGTTCGGGCAGCCCGGAAGTTTGTTAGGTTGATCTTTGTTATCCTGAATATCCAGGTGCACACCTTAAGACTTGTTACGATGATTTCAGGGGTTTTTAAAGGGGTGCAAAAATGTCCCATGTAATTTTACATGCCTAAAGCATCTTGCTCTCATTCCAGAAGGGTACAGGGCTTGCTTAGGTGATGCCTAATACTAGTATAGGTCTGTAGGATAACTTGCATGGGAATGAATGTCTGTTTTGGAACAGTTTAAGTCCACTTCCAATCCCAAAGGGACAATGGAATACAAAGTTACCATTCTGAAGAAAGATCTGTTTTTCCAGCCACTGAATCTTTAGTTGTAAATGTAAGACCATAGGAAACTGCCAAATTCTGTTATTTTGCCATCAGTCTACATTGATTCGAAGGTAATACTTGAAGACTGAGCAAATCTGCCATTTCAGACACTTACAGAAATGCTGTGATACTCTGGTCTCTCACGTAAAAGGTTTTGTGCCTTTTCAAAAGAGTTTATCACTTTGGTTTTTCTGCTGACAAGAGAAGGTTTGTTTCTCCTCAGCTGAAGGTAGCACATTGCTCATTGACTGCAACAAAGTGTTCTTGGTTTAAAGACATTTTCATAATCCATTACCCAAATTTCTAAAACATCTTCATCAAATCATGCCCAAACAATGTCTATTTTCACAGACATCCAAGAAATTTCTGTCCCACAAGTCATTTTGATGAAATCAAAGAAACTGAAAGTTGACAGCACTGGGAAAGCAGCTTGTTTGGCAAGGAATGTCTATACGAAGAACATCAGCTTGGACATGTCCTCTAATGAAGTCGTGTATGAACCAAGTGCATCCATTTTGACATCAGAGGGGTTGTACGATACTGTTAAGGTGGTGAGCGTGACAAAAGGCACAGAGCTGAGCTGCACGGCCAATTTCAACGGCAGCACCATCACAGCCAGCACAAGCTTGGCAGGTACAATTCTGTGGTGCAGCTTTGGCTGTATTGGGTCATATGAACGCTTTGTTTAATCCTTTTAAAAATGTAGACAATGTTTATAACTCCTTTTCTTTATTGTGCCACAGAAGAAAATGCTGAAGACCCAGAAATGGGGAAGGTTTGCAACACCACAGACACCTCTGCACAAGGTTAGTTATCCAAATAGATTGTGAAGTTCCATTACTATGTTGAGGAATAAATACATGGAAATGTATTTCCTCAGGGGTAGAGGAATCAGACTACAACATACTCATCAAAGACAACCTGCTTTTTCAAGGTAGCTAGTTTAGTAACAGACAAGCAACAGGAAACAAAATCCAATCTCAACAGGCATCCTCCTCCCTTGGTGTTGCCATGTTTCTCTACTATCTTTTCCTTTGTTGCTGTTTCTTTCCCTTAAACTTATTACCTCTTTTTTTTCTCCCAACTTTCTGCCAATATCACACTATCCAAATCTAGACCATGATCTCTCCCATCTTTTCTCTATCACAAAGCAGGTACCAAAGTGGAAAAAGCGAACATGCTCTCTATGGCTGTACTGGGTTTAAGAGTCCTGCTGGCAAAAAGCATCGCCTTCAATACACTCATGAGTATCAAGCTGTTTCTTTTCTGAGGTAAGGAAGCACACAGCTTGACCAGTAGAAATACTGGAAGCGCATGCCAGGAAAGGCCGCTTCCCTTTGTGTACCTCTCTAACCCCACAAGCAACGATAGCTTTCCATCTGGTCCTGTTTCCTTTAAATAACTCCTGTAGATTTCTGGGACCCCCCTAAACCATGACAAAAAACTCTTCCCCAAACCAACAACATGCCCAAACAACTAAAAAGCTCCCTCACAAATCACAAAGAAAACAGCCCCTTTCTATAGCCAAAGCTCAGGTCTTGGTTGCTGGTGCCCAGGTTTTCTCTGCAGCCAACTTGCTTTGCGAGAGCAGGTTGGGTATTACTAGAAGTGCATCAGAGTTATCTCAGTGACTGTTTCAAGTGGCAGAGCACAAAGCCTGGAGAAAACCCAAAAAAGGAGACAAAAGCAAGGCTTCCAGAGCACTAACATGTGAAGAAGTGGAGGAAAGAGTGAAGGGGGCAGGATTTTTAAATTAAGGCATCCAAAGAGGCACAAAAGATAGTCCAGCCTAAGTTTTGTGAGTCTACCTGTCTTGATCAGACAGCTATGAAACAGTGGCATGTAGGTCCAATTGCCTTAAACGTACTTTAAACCACACTTTGCTCTTGCAGACAGTGAAGAAGCAAGGCAACAGCAACCTGAAAACAAGCAGGAGGGAGAGTGTATCAGTAGCACAATGGGATGAACAGCCAGTGTCAAATCTGCTGACTATAACCATCCAGAACACAATACAGCACCTTCCCCTTAAGATATTTTATACTGGTGAATCCTGCCTAGCTGATTTAGTTAAAGAGTTGTAACCATCTTTGCTATTTCTTTTCTCTCTGTGCCTGAGGAGAGTATTTTTCCTCATTCCTTTGCTAAGTAGAATTTGATCTCCCCTTTGAATAGTCTTTGAATTGAAGCATCTCACCTACTTCAATAGCTTTGAAAAATCCAATCCTCATTATAGACATACATAGACTTCTAAAACACCTCTTACAGGCATATTGCATTACTGTCTGTGAACTGATGTATTGTTGTTGAGAGAATTCAGGCACAGTAGATGCTATTTGCAGTTTTAATGTTATTTAGATAGCTTTAATAACAATAATTTTCTAGTGTAGAAGACCTGGGTTGGATCTGAAGTATTCACTTCAACCAGATAATTTTCAACCATAGAAGCATTTCTTTATTAAACCTGCATTTCTTCTGCAAAGTGTATGGCATGTGCATTTTAGGTTCCTGTGGTAGTGACCAAAATAAAGCTTTACTAAGCCAAAATGTTGTGGTTTGTTTTGTGCTTTTTCTTCTGAATTTGGGATGGTGGTTACTGAAGTTCAGCTGTCCTGACGACCACTAAGATGAGAAATACAGTTTTGATAACCTAGATTTCTTGTTGATTGAATTTTGTAGACTTTGTACAAGGAAGTGGAGATTGGCAGGTTAAAAAGCATCAGCAGGGCCATGAATTGTAGAATTCAGGATTCAAATGAGGTCTGGTCTTTCAGATCACTTTGAAGAGATCCCAGCAAGATATTATGCATCACAGCAAGAAGAGATGCATATCTAAAACATGCAGTTTTATTCCACTCACTGATACTAGGAAGAGGCCAACAGGAAATAACGTATGGTAGTTTGATGGAGCGATAGTTTCCACAGCAACTTGGTTAGTAGTCAAAAAGCCCCCACCACACACATTCCTCAACTCGTCTTCCTCTCACTGGCAGCAGGCAGGATGCTGTTGTCAACATTTATGACTAAGTTACACCCTGCAAGATTAACTCCTTCTTGTTTTGAAAAACAAGTTAACCACATCCTGAAGGGGGAAGAAGGCTTTTCACACACTGAATTACTGCAAGCTTCAAGACAGCCTCTACAGAGTGCATAGGAAGGTCTGTTCAGTTAAGTTTTGTAAAGTTAGTCACTCAGACCCTGCAGACACCTACAGGAAGACCTTCACCCTATGCAGAAGATAGGTGAAATTTGCATGGAAATCCCAAACTAGTAAAATGCTTATTTAGTGCATTCTACCACATAATGTATATCAGGGGAGCCTTTCACTAGTATTTTTATCCTGATTTTCTGATGACACTCTGAACCTTTTTATCTTATTCTCCACACCTTTCCCAATCTCCCAGGCAAGGCTCAGAGTGGGAGTACCATTTCTGTGTCTCTGCAAATCAAGGAACACCATTTTCCTGAGTAGTCCTTGGTTGTGCCTTGCAGCTTTGGCAGAACTAAAGTCCTGCAACACATCACAAGCAAAAAATGGGATCTCCAAACGTGTGGCTATGGAGGAATAATGTTGACTCCTACAGAAATGTATCAGGCAGATAAAGACATCGGTCTCTGTTGTTTCAAACACTCATTCACATCATTGGTGTAGGACACCAGAGCCTTCATCTTCATCACTAGAGGATACATGACCTGAGTGATACTCCCATGGCCAGTTTTTTCAGACTCTCCTGTGCACCACTGGAAAGCCAATTGAGATGGCAAACCAGGTTTTATTTCACCTTCTCATTATACAACCTTTTACAGATATTTCAAATAAGATAAACTGATTGTTTTCTTATTATTACTCTAAACAATAGCAAACTACACAAGAATGGCAAATGTTAAATATCTGCTTGTACAACTGAATCTTTCTGTTGTCTTATATAGCATTAAAAATACAATATAAGAAAGCAATCCCTTCATTCTGGGGCTATCTTTCGACTTGTATGTTCTGTTTCCCCAAAAGACTAAAAAACGCCTGGTTAAACCGACCCATTGCTGTGAACTTCCTGCCTTCCCTTGATCTCTCCTGCTCCCTGCTGGTCGAAGTGTTTATTGTTCTTACAACGTTTTAGATTTGATGTCATCCAGTAAAGAGGTCAAATGAACAAAACCCCAACCCAAACCACAAACAAGCCCCTACGCCCAGCAATAGGTGTTGTCTCTGCACATGCCACAAATCAAAAGTCTTTGCTCTTCGTTTGGCTTCTTGCTTTGCCAGCAGGTGTAGATGAAAGCCCCTGCTATGTGATATAAAAGCTTTAGAAAGTCCAGTGCCAGAAATGCACACGTGAAAGAAGATGAATACTTGAAGGAAGATAGAAGCTGAAACAATTGAGCAGTTGTAGGTGATCTGTAACAGGAAGAAATGGAGTAGAATATGGGAAACATTGACAACACTGCTTTTGAAATTCATTAGTGTTTCTAAGGGAGCTTAAACTCTAAGTTATTCAGGAAACTTGGTCCTAGGCTGAATGAAAGATGTCCTGCTGGGATTAAGGCATGCATTTGTGCTCTGAAAAGCTGTTATGTCTAAAGCAGACTAGGGTCTTCCAAAGGTATAGACATCTTGCTAAATGATGAGAAAGTCTGAAACAGCACAAACTTCTGGCTTCAGGAAATAAAGAGGCTGATGGCAAGATGGATGAATACAAGTGCCAAAGAATCTGGTGTCCTGTGATAAAGAAATTGCAGGGCAAGTTGGTGCATCCAGGAATGCTACAGATGAGATGCAGTCAGAAGCTGCGTTCTTCTGATGAAGCTCTCTACCCCCTTGAACTCTGAGATCTTCTGTGGAAGGGTTTCTCACTGTAGAAGGACCAAGCCACACCAGTGCCATCAAGTTCTGGCTACGGACCTGGCTGCTTCTGGAGACAGGTAAGCCATTTTGCTTTTAGCCATGAATTTTGCCACAAACCTATGTATGTAATAGTTCATCAGACTGGTAGTTCAGGGTGCCATACACTGGAATCCTTCTCTATATTAGATCCACTGAAGTCACAGTAATGACTATACCAAGGGGTATACTCTTGAACAAGACATACTCAAGTTCAGTGGTGCAGTCAGTCATGGGGAGGCTGGATGTTAATGGTCTGGCCTTACAGATGATCACTTGCTATAAGTCTCTGGCAAAATGACTTATCCTTTGGTGTCCACTCTGTGTGTGCAATAGAAGAGAAATGAAACGCCTTAAAACTTCTCATGTATCCAAATGATGCAAGTAAATGTGCTTGAGTCTGCTTGGCTGGAGTGCATCTGATTAGCTAAAATATTCTGGAAGAGATGCCCAGATTTTTTTATAGCTGACCCTGATTATCCATTCAAAATATTTTTCTTCTCTATGGACTGTGGCACAGGAAGAAAGATTGCATTGGTGAGAAAAGTAAAAGTGTTTGAATAAATGTTCTTCCTCCTCTGAAGAACATCTGCACATATTCAGGTATTTTAACAGAGTTACTGCTGAATTGGTTATTTTACCACTTTTCTGTCAGTTACCTTTTCTCAGCAGACAAATGCATGGCTGTTTTTTGAGATGCTGCTCTTTTCAATGGCTTTTTCATGTCTTGGAATACTTAATAGCAGTGTATGTATAATTGTTGACTTGTTTTAAAATGAAAATTATCAATGCTTCTATGAGATAAGGAATAGTTACAACTCATAATGTGCAAAGAAAACATCTTGAATTTCTTATCTTCATGGCTACAGTTATTTTTTCTGTCTTCTACAGTTGCTGTTATCATAGAAAGATGCAACTACATTATCCTCTGCTAGGCTGGTGAGGTGGGATCCCAGCAGGAGGTAGCAGTGGGATTCACAGGAGGAAATTGTCATGAGAATGTTTGGCCTAGGAAGCTTGAGAAGAACCACCTGAAGAGATCTGTTTATGCACATCAAAGTTAGGAACCTCCTTTGAGTCGAAACCCACTGCCAGCATTTTGGTAAAGCTCTTTATCACAGTGAAACTTCGTAGGTGCCTACATAAAGGTGACTTTTGGAATGGGAACAAGGCTGGCTGTTCATCCAAGTAAGTGCCAGAAATGAACATCCCCAAAACTGAGCTTGATGATGCTGTGATGAACTTCGGCTTTTGGGGATTTAAAGGGGACTGGGGAGGGAAGTGCTTCTGGTAACATTGCTCTTTACCAACCTGCTAGGAGATGGAGAAGAGACAACCCAGCCTTTATTTTATGTAGATATTTAACAGCCATTTTGCACACATAGTTTCATTTTGGTAACCAGATTCTCCTGCCATGGAACCTGAAATGGGCAGAAGAGCTTGGGGGATTTTGTAAAGGAGCTTCTGGCAGTGTGTATTCAGGAAACATAGTAAGACCTACCTTTGGAGGAGGAACCAGGCTGCTGATAAAGCCCAGTAGGTATCTCTTATCAATATGGTTAGGAAAGACAGAGAACTTCAGGTCTTTTGTCAGATCCTCCTTAAAATACAGACGGTAGAGCTTCTTTCAAATATGAAGAAAAAGGGTGGCGAAGAAGAGCACATTCTAAACAATTCCCTTTGAATGTCTCTATAATTTCGGTATGTGTGGAACACGTCAAGAATTGCTATTGTTCAGCAAAATCAGTGTGGTGCAAGCATCATAGTCAGAATGAAACCTACAGGGGAATATATTTGAGATTAGTATGCATGAATAACATGTCAAAGATTAGGTGAAACTGGCTTCTGGGGCTTAGATTTGGATCTTTTACTGGGTTTGTTCCAATGGTATAAACAACAGAAAATAGGACCTTCAATTGTTTTTCTTGGGGTTTCCTTCTGCTTATTTTTTCTTGGCTTCTTTGTGCTATGGGTCTGGTCCATAGGTTCAGGCTGATCTGCTTCTTTAGACCAGAAGAAGTTTTAGAAACTGCTATGTTAGTTGTTCAAAATAAAAGGGTTAAAGGCTGAAGCTTCTCCTTTACCAGTTTTGTTTGCTTGTTTTCTTTGCTTCTTTTGCTTATTTTCTTTGCTTAGATCTGTTTGCTTCTTTCCTCTTCTGTTACAATTTCTGTTTACCCATCACTGTGGGACAACTGAGTCTTCCTAGAAACTCACCCTTGGGAGAGGTACATCTTTAAACAAATATCTGTTTCATGTCATAAAAGCAAGGCTGAGTTTCTCCTGTTCTAACTAGGGCAAAAGTTGTTCTACTTCAAAGCTGTCCAAAAACCTTCAGATATGTTATGCTCACAGCATAATGGGCTTGATTTTCTACTTCAGACTTTCCAGAATCTTTTCTATCTGAATTTCTATGGTAAGATCAGAGGCATGTGACTACAACGACACCCTAATTTGGAGTCAGAAGTATGTGACGGGTGACATCTTTTTTCCCCTTTGATCTCTTTTGAACAATGCATCATATACTT